TCCCAGACAACATCTCTGTACTCTTCCCAGGCCGCCTGTCCTTGCTTCAACTTTCTTTAAGCCTCTTTTTTCATTTGAATTTTCCTCAGCAGCTCCTCATCCATCCAAGGAGGTCTCCTGACCCTCCTGCTGCACTTCCTCCTAGTTGGGATGCAACACTCCTGAGCTTGTAGCAGGTGATCCTTGAAGACCAACCAAGAGTCTTGGGCCCCCCTGCCCTCTAGGGCTTTATCACATGGAACCTTACTAAGCAGGTTCCTGAAGAGGCCCAAGTCTGTTCTTTTAAAGTCCAAGGCAGTGAGCTTGCTGCACGCTCTTCTCACTGTCCTAAGGATCTCAAATTAGACCATCTCGGGATCACTGCATCCAAGGCTGCCCTGGAACATCACATTTCCAACAAGCCCTCCCCTGTTGGTGAGCACAAGGTCAAGCATGGCACCTCTCCTTGTCAGCTCCTTTATTACTTGCCGAAGGAAGTTGTCTTCCACACAATCGAGGAACCTCCTGGATTGCTTGTGTTGGGCCATACCATCCCTCCAAAAGATGTCAGGGTGGTTGAAGTCACCCATGAGAACGAGGGCCTGTGAGTGTGAGGCTTTTCCTATCTGTCTAGAGTGCTTCATCCGCAGGTTCTCCCTGATCAGGTGGTCTGTAACAGATCCCCACAGTAATCTCTCCCATTGCTGTTTTCCCTTTAACCCTGACCCACAAACTTTCCTCTAACTGGTCATCTGTCCCCAGACAGAGTTCCATACTCTCCAGCCTATCCCTAACATGAAGGGCAACTCCCCCTCCGCGCCTGCCAGGCCTGTCTTTTCTAAAGAGTCTGTAACCTTCCATTCCAACACTCCAGTCACAGGAGCCATCCCACCATGTTTCTGTGATGCCTATTATATCATAGCCCTGCAGACGTGCACACATCTCTAATTCCTTTTGTTTGTTCCCCATGCTATGGGCATTTGTATAGAGGCATTTGAGCCAAGCTCCAAATGAAGCCGGCTCATTGGCTGGAGCAGCTGGAATATCTCTGCATTGGTCCGAGCATTTATTATAGGCGCTGGCAACTGACTGGGTGTGTTGGGATGGAATGATGCCCCCCTCCCCCAACACATCTAGTTTAAAGCTTTCTTGACCAGTCTGGCAAGCCTCCTACCAAAGCTGCTGAGACCAGCTTCACTAGTCCCCACTAGACCTGGCCTACAAAGTTGGGTCCCATGTTCAAGACACCCAAACCCCTGACTATGACACCACCCTTTTAACCATTTATTAACCTGGCTAATCCTCCTAGCTTTTTTTAGGTCTTTTTTTTAGGTTTGTTTGTACTACATATCCTAGCTGAAAACAAATTTGAGGATCAATGCTTAACTCATTTGTTTATGAAGTCAGTAAGTTTTTGACATCATATATGAATTCACAAATTTGCACCGTGTCCCAGAAGACATAGTATGGACTCCAAAAGCACTCCACACGAGTTAGTTTCCTTGTACCAAGGCAATGGGACTTTGAAACAGAGAAGGAAAGACAAAGCAGGGCAGAAGTGGAAGAATCCTCAACCGCTGTCTTAAAGAGTGGAAAGGGAAAGAGCAGCAAGGGATAGAAAGGCTAAAGTTAAAAGCTGAGAATTCTGGTACAGATACATCCAATCTGTGAGGAGGGGTGGCAAAAGTCACATTTCACATGGGAAAATTTAAGTAGCTCAGATTAACTTTGAGAGTTAATTATTCCTTACACATGCAGTATCTTCTTCCATGAAAACACATTTTCTAAAGATAGTGTCTAAATTTCATTTCAGTGACAACATCAGCTTTGTATATTTACTATTCCTTTATTTTTTAATCCCATATCCCCCCCCCCCCCCCCAATTACTGGGTGCTGGTGAAATATTTGCAGTTTAACATATATGTTTCTTCAGAGTGTGGACCTGAAGTAGGATTTACAAAATGAAACCCCAAAGGAGGTTGCAAGTAGTCACTCTTCCAGTTTTTTGCAGAAGACTTACACAACCTGTTCAAATTCACAAGCTTCAAGCACTAAATCTACCAGTCAGGATTAATTAACTGAATATGGAGGAATATTTTGTATTTGCAGTCATACTGTAATTCTGAATTTGGGTGAAAACTTGATGACAATTATACAGCATCCCTGACTCAATATAATCAATAACACCACATAATTCTCAAAATTCAAATTGGTATTGGATGTGGTCATGTCAGAATAAACCAGCATTGACTCCTATGTGGCAAAAAATTCTAGAAGTCATGAAAAGGGGATTCTCAAAGGATCACAGTACACCAGGTGGAACATACCAGCCTTCAGAAGTAAAACAAGTATCAGAGCAGATAAATGCCATGCTCTAGTTAACTATATTTTACTACATACATCTATAAGAGCATGAAATGTTGTAACAAAGGTGGACAAGAGGATTCTTTTACATTTTCTGCAAGAAGTCTGTAGTCTCAAAGCACATTATGAGCAATATTATCACAACCTGTACACAGAAGAGGAAGAACTATCAGTGTAGAAAGCTAAGACTTATCTACATTACATACTTTGAAATGCAGGAAGGCTGAAAATGAAATGTTTTTTACACCCATCAGAACTAATCTCCTTCCTAACTGAGGCATGAGAACAACTGATCTCAAAGCAAGACCAATAAGTGATGACAAACCACAGACCAGAATGTATTTGGAAACATAATTAATTACTGCTTGAAGCAAAGATTTGCATTCTGTAGTAGTACTGGAGAAACACTACGTCTTACACTCTGGATAAAAAAATAAATAAAATAAATAAAAATAAATAAACAGGGCAACAAAGAACGATCCTCAAATCATCTTTTTATGTATAATTTTCATCAGTAATGAAAAATTAATGGTATAAAGGCATTTTCAGAATATTATCAGCATAACACATAGATACAAGAAGCAAAACAACTGATCTGGACATCAGTTTTTACTAGGAGTCATTAAATGAAACATGCTAAAAGATGCAGCAGAGATTCCAATACAAATACAAGTTTCAGGAAGACAGCAGCAGGTGTAAGACCCAGCAATGCAGAAAATCCTTGAGTAGCTTGATCAAGCTGTACCATCCTTGCTGGTTGATGAAAAGCCAAGACACTCAGAAAGCAAAGACATCCATGAGTTCTGCCCTTAGGTTCAGCTATGTTATAGCTTGTTGAACATGAGCAAGGTGTAATGCAGACCTAAGCAACAACCATAAATGCTAATAGGTAGCACATCCTCTTGGGACCGAAGCAAGCAGAGTGTTGCTGTGCCTTTTCTAATACTTTATGCATAGAAAAGGGTACGAATTTCCTATTTCTATAGCAGGAGAGCACTTACCAACAAAACTATCGCAAGTTTTGACAAACCTGAGTTTTCACTATGTCCCTTTTAGAAATGCAGGAACTTCCTGAAGTTGTGAATTCCAGAAAAGTTCAACACATTATAACAAATAACAACACTACCAGTTTTTCTGAACCAGAAAGGACTTAAGGTGACTTCAGCCACCTGTGTAAAATGCATGGAATAGCATTGTGCACAAACCAGTCAAGAAGAAAGATTTCTTCTAGGGACAGTTCCTACAGTGAAAACCCAATGTGCTAGGTCAAGTCAAAAGTTATGAGTGTAAAAAACAAGTTACAGGATCATTTAGTGAACAAAAGGATTACCAGAACTCAAAACTGTAGCAGAAATTATGATATGCAATTGTTGGTGTCCCTGCCAGGTCAGGGAATGCCAGAGCACTAATCGCAAAGGACAGTTCTGCAGTTTGCCTTTACCTATCAATTTAAAGATAGAATGGTGTATAAGAGATTTCACAGAAGATCTGGATGCAAAAGAGGAGATGCGTGATATCTGAAATATACATATAATTATCTATAAATATTTTCCAGTACAGCTTGAATGTGTCAACTCTGGGGAATATATTGCTGTTGGCCAAAATATATTCTAACAACTAAAACAACTTTAAATTTTCTGACTGGTAGCAGGCAATCTTTTTTCTTTGAACTGCAAGTATTGAATACATTATTGCAAAATTGTATTTGTCATCATGGAAAAAATAGTACCACTAGGAACAAAATAATCATTTCTAGACTTAGCCAGCAGCAGCACATCAGAATGAAAATCTATAGCTTTAGGAGCTTATAAAACTATTGGGATTTGCTGTTACACGTGATACCATCGCCTAACATGTATCTGCCATTAGCTGACTAAAACAGGAGCTGTCAATATGCAGAAATTAAACTCATTTAAACTGAACAAAACGCAGACAATTTCTAAATGCAGTCATGTGCTTGTATGAGGCTTGCTTGCCTTCGATATGCTCCCGTGTTTTAGTTCACCTCACTCAATACAGAAGCCAAATTTAAAATGACATGAGCTCTATACCTGGTCAACAAAGGTCAGTTCTTCTTGATAACCTCTTTAGAATTCTATGTATAAACCAGGCCTGAAGGACCAGTGTTTTCTCCAAAAACCTGTGTTACCGTGAATCACTACACACCATATTCTGCTCAGGCTCTGAACTAAGCTACAGATTGCAACACAGTGCCTAGCTCTGGACTTGTGACTGACCACTAGAGAGCATTAGGGATGATAGCTTCTGACAGACTGCCCTCCCATGACAACATTAAAAGGAGGTAAATTTGTTCTGCTTCAGTTCACAAATATTCAAGATGCACATCTGCAAGCTTGTAAGGAACTGTCTCTTGCGAAGTTCTGTATCATGCTTTTGGTTACCCTCAAGCAACTCAGCTGCCACATCTCTCAGGGAGAGCACCATTTGTCAAGCAGACCATTCCAAGTTCAGAGCCATGGATGAAGTCCTCACCTAATTCAAAACACACGTACTTTGTCAGTATTAGTGCACTGCTTCTCACTTTCTGACTACTGGGTGTTCAGCCCTGATTATTTGCTTTACTGAAGCTACCCTTTATTATCCAGTGATCACTATCAAAGCATCCACATGTGTGACTGAAAGTGTTTTGTAGTGGTTTTGTAGGGGCATTGTCAGAAGTGCAGTGAGCCAGCTGGATATAAGTAAAATACCTTCATTGCCATAAGTTCCTGCATCAAGACTGCATTTTCCAGGTCTAGCCTCTGGCTGTCTCCTCGAGGTTTAACATCATAACTAAGGGGATCAATGTGGATGCTTTCCAGCTCTAGCATTGTCAGTTTCACTGCTGCTCTGTCATTTTTCAGCTGCTGTATGTAATCCTTCAGTCGTTGCTCATCCTCCTTTGTAAATTCCATATCGCAACTGCTTGCAGTTGAGCTGGTAGTACTGGAAAGAGAAAGAATAGTATTTTAAGAGAGTTCAGAACAAAATCTGTATTTTTTTACCAACTTCAGCCCTACCCCCCATCCCAAGTAGTTCATCAACACATCTGAGTCTTACTTAAAAGTTCAGAGAAAGGACACACACACCACAAACTGGATTTTGCAATGCTCAGAAGATGCAGAAGGGTATGACAAATTCAGAAAATAAATTAATTCTTTAAGCTGCATGAGAAAATTTAATCATGTGACAATTCCCCTTCAAAGCTGAGTATTTAGTGACACATAACTGAAGTACTTTTCCTGGAATCATGTCTTCTGAAACTAGGTTTTTAATTAAAAAACTGAAAATAAATAGCTACTGAAGATTTCTTAGCAGTACCCTAGCACAGCAAACTTCTCTGCTGCTCAGACACTAAGTCTTCATCTTCTTTGGGAAGAAGCATCTGCTAAAAAAGAAAGAAGCAGGCCGGACTTCATTGATTTTTGCTGATAGCAATATACATTATCAGCTTAGGCATTTTTAACAGACACTTGCAGGAATCAACCAGAGCAGAATTACACTGGTAATTGCCAGGAGTACACTGACATTCTTTAAATTCATGTCAAGATGCATTCTTCAGTTCACGGACATTCTTTCAGGGCTGGAGGGCTTATAACTCCTAAGTTAGTAAAATTTTTAATAAGAAGTCATAATCAGATTTTGCAGAACTTCTTCTACCTACAAACAAATGACTGCCCACTAGTCTGTCCCACAAATTACACAGAGATCACACGAAGCGAGAAGTAATGCCTTAGAGAAAGGGTGGCTCAATGCTGCCTAGCCACTTACACACATGCCAGTGCTGCAGGGGGCCAAGACTGATACCGTCATAGCATTCCAGGGCTGAATACAATTGCAATAACACTAAAAAAAAATAAAATACCATGTTGTTTCTATAACCTCACTCAAAGCTGCCTGCTGTCTCCTGAGGTCCTGTAATCAGCTCTCGGGTGAGGGGTAAGTCATCCATTAACTGCTTGTCTGGAATTCTAGATGATCTCAGTTATCAGCAGGGGAATAAATCATTTTCTATGTCAAATTGCACTGCTGTCCAACGTTTTTGTAAGAATTAAAAAGCCCTACCTGCTACATGTTGTAGGAATCAGGATGAATGCTAAAATATATTATGCATGTGAAAAAGGGGAAACCTATCAAGACAGGCTTGATTTTTCTCTTTTCTTTTGGTTCTACTGCAGCTAAAGCTGAATTGATTTTTAAGTGCCTCTAATTGCCAATCTTCCCACAAATTCCAAGCACAGCCTTGGAGGAGATGGAGAATTGGCAGGTCTACAAACACTTTTCAAAATCCTTCCCTCATGAAATACCGCATTACAGTTCTTTACCACAGTTTTATCTATCAATTTCCCATTTTTTCCTTCCTCTTCTTAGGGGTAATAGGTGCCATATTTACCACAAGTGTAAACTGTCTTTGCTTTTGTCTTCTGCCATTACTGTCTGCAGTGAAGCTAAAAACACCCAGTACCTACACTACGTAAAACCCCTTCCAGACTGAAACAAATTTGTGTTCACAGAATGGTTTGGGTTGGCATACTTGGCTTTTCATTAGAGAATCTTGAAATAGTAAAGCAAGATCTACTGAGTCTAAAGCTGTCTTTCTGAAGTACACAGTGAGATAAAAATCGTACGGATAACAATATGAGAAATACTTAATTCTGTACCACAGTCACGTTGCAAGTTTCCTCAGCACCCAAAGCAATTGCACAGTTTTTCTGAATTAAATACAAAACAGCTGCTGTTGGAGGAAGAACAACTTTTAAAACCTACACAGGCTTCAAATCTTGGGGCACAAAAGAGCTCATCTCATTTAGCATCAAGATTTCACCCAGAAGATTGGAAGCAGTATGGGATGCAGAAAGCTGGGGTACAAAGCCCACTTTGGACTGTTGTAAAAATAAGACTGAGTGATGAGGGATGGAAACACACTGAACTCCCACAGAACAGCTCTGCCATCCACCAAAAGCCCCACCATACACTTCTCCATAATGCTAGTCCGTTGCTGCGCTATTTAAGGCCCACAGCTGGTGAGCATATGAACTTGAGTTTCAGATATTGTTCTCTCTTCTTAACAGCACTCAGGACAAAGGAAACCAGACTGACAGAATGCATATATAGCATAATGCATCCATCCAAAAACTACATGAAACTCTGGCAAAAGATGTGCAGTTTCTCATGTCTGAAGCATGTAAGTAAGGACAGAGAAAGGATCACCATTTCATCACATCTGGAGGGAACACAACAACAATCTGCTCATTCTCGTTGGTATTGTGTTCATAACAAGTAAGAGAAATGTTCTTCCCACTTGCTTCATCCCTCCAGTCTTTTATAATGATGCCATGCCTGCATGATGTCAATTTGCATATACAGCCTGTGGAAAATATGTAAATCAATATAGCATAATGTGCAGTTTTATTTGCTGGCATGTGTGTGTGTGTTCACATGCACATGTGTGTATATGAAACTCAGCAGATGGATAAAGTGAGGCTTCGAACAGTGCCTATGTGTGAGTAACTTCAGTACATTACAAAATTTTGTCCATAAAATTCTATAAGCTTCAGTTCATCTGTTAAAAATCAAACCAATAAATAAATCTGCAGTTCAGCAATTGTGCAGACTACAAAAGTTGACAGAACTATTAATGCTGTCAGAACAAAATCCACAAAACTTGCTTGACTGTCTGCATGCAACCATACACTGCAAAGAATGTGTTTGATACAGAGTATATACAGGCCACCATCTTCTAGGTGAATGCTGTGGCTTGACATATGAAAGAGCACAAAGCCAAAAGATAGTAACTTCCTGAGAAACTGAAAAATATGCCAACCAGCCAAAAGACAAACAACAGTATATTTGGCTAAAGTTAGAACCTTTGGTGAAACTACTCTGCTTCCTTCTGAGAATAATTAGGTCCAGCAATGAAGTCCTAAGTAACAGAAATATCACAACAGGTATCTTAAAATAACTTATTGGCACACTTCAGCCAAGATAATCTTGTCTGTCAGCTACTTATCTGAAATCTGAAGTAATTCTGATGAGAGATACAGTCCTACATTTGGCTGAGTTCTGATATTCTGTGACACTGTGTGATATTGAAAAGAATTTCCTTTAGCATGTAAGAGACCAGATCTTTTCCCACATGAATCTAGATGTAAAGTTGGGCTTACTAGCACTGCAGGGAATAAAATCCACTGTTTTCGACTGGTACTAACACCAGAGTCTTTCTGTTTCCTTCTTTTTAAGGTACAGTCAAACCTTGTTGGCAGTGTTTGTTAGCTTCTGTCCATTAAAATAATTATGACTCCCAACTACACTGTAGACCTACTCTATTTTCCAAAAATGAATTGGTAACATTGTGGTGCTGCCAACTAAATAATCTGAGATGCTTGCTATTATTTTTATCCACTTCAGCAGAGCATCTGTGATGCTCTTTCGTTGCATTTCATTCATTTACATTTGAGTTGCTCCCTTTTCCTTTCCTAACCACTTGTAACTAGCAGCTCACTAAGTATTTATTTTCAGTAACACATTCAGCAATTTGACAGCCAGAATCTCATCTGAAATGCCAAAGCTAAAAATGGGTCAACAATTGCATTGTAAGTTCCAATTCTACAGGATTCTGAACAGCGAGTAGAATTACTCACTTGTCACAAGTCTCAGCCAAGAAGAGTTTTCATCATGCCACCACCTCTTTGCTCAGTTAGTTTCAAAGGGAAAAACAGGCAACTAAAAGCATGCAACACTGGAGCAGCCATGGCAAAAGATCAGTCTTGCAGGTATGGAGTATGTTTGAACCATGTAATGTAAAAACGTTTTAGTTTCAATGTAGTGGTCCCCAAATGGAGGTTCACACAGCGCTCACTAGTGATGCAGGCTTGCTCTACTCACCAGTTTTATAGACATTAAGCCCGCAGGAATAGAATCACAGAATCATAGAATCAACTATATTGGAAAAAACTTTTAAGATCATCAAGTCCAACCATTAAATAGCTAGAAATCTGCAGTCTCCTGTTTCTGCTTGGATTGCTATTGCAATGCAATATGAATGGAAATGGAAATTGTCAACATCAAAGAATCAAAGAGAGCTATAGGTCTGCAGCAAGGGGATGTGTGTCAGAGCAGCAGGAAGCCAAGTGGCAACGGACCACACAGGAATGGGGTGAGAGAGAGCTGACAACATAGGCAGGGTAATGACAAAAAACAGGAGTAGGGCCCTGGAGAGAAAAAAAAGGGATCCAGAATGATAGGGAGAGCGGAATTATAGGCAAAATCATCAATTTTTTAAACCCAAGATATAACATTTACTGATATAAATAAAGTGTGTGCCTTTTAAACCAACATAGATTTTCTATCTATGGGTTGTCAACAGTCTCATGTGTCTCTAAACTGAAGAGGGTATGCCTCTGTTGTGAGACAGGGTCCACAGGAAGGAGAAATCTGAAAACACCACGTTATCACTTAACACAACAGAACAGAAGAGTCATGGAGAAGCTAAAATTAAAATAATATTTTTACTGACATGTATGTTTAGACAAATTATACTGGTTGTGGGTGAAATGGAGAGGGATGACAATATCTAAATGATGATCAGATCGAGTTGCCCATATGACAAGTTCCTGACTTGCTGTGTGCCCTTTGGGTGACTGAGTACTTTTCTCTCTCATGTTCTGTATCTATCAAAGCAGGTAACAGTAGTTACCTTATTCACTATAGTATCTTGCTCTCCATCAGAAAAAAAAAATAAAAATCCTACAATGATAATGACTTTTATCTAAAATCTTGCACACAGAAGAATTTACATTTGCATTTTTACATTTCATGACACAGTGTACACTGATGAAATTTAAAATGCTATGCTATTTTAATCATATTCTATTGAAACTTTATATACTCAGTCAACATGTTATGTGCACATGTACACATAGTGCCAGCTGAACACAAAATGTTCAAGGTAAACAATGAGCACGAGGGATGATTTTCTTCCTCAAACACATACACATCCATTCCTTACCCTTCCCCTCTAAAAACCAAAAGTGTGTTCAACAGTGCAAGGACTGTAAAGACTATATTCTTATAAAGACTTTCATTGAAAGGCTAAGAGAACAGACAATAAAAGGGGAATCATTTCCTCCCTCCATTTTCCCCCATCAATACTGGAAACTAGCTAAACTTCCATAAAAAAAGATGCTTTAACTACATACTAGATATCTCACAAAGAAGAAAATTACCAAGGTGTAGTTATAAAAAAAGAAAAGTACCCTTTCAAATAACAGCATGGAAAAGTAGCTCAGCCTAGGTAGAAGTATTGGTTTTTGTGGTCGCAACCTGTTCACATGCAGGTGTAGATAATGGCGTAAGAGAATGCAAACCGAGGTGAGGCAAGTCAAGAATTTGAAACAGCTTTGTACTTTTGAATGACCAACATGTTACTATGTGCAGATGCTGCCACGTTAATTTCTATGTAAAAATATAGCTTTCTTGCACTGAAAACGCATCACAAAATTCTTAGAATAAAACCTAAAAATTTACCTCACATTTGGACCCTGTTGCCTCATGTTATCTTTTTGCTCACTTTTCAGCTTTTCCATGCTAGTCATATGTCAGGAGATAGCACCGTTCAGAGAAGGCATCAGCAAGAAGAAATTATATGGTATTAAAATAAACTTCTAAAGTGTGAAAAATGACAGCATTTGAATAAGGAACGGGCTCAGAAACTGAATTAAAATTCAATTTTAGAGTGAATCTGTGGAACCAAAATATCTTTTAAAAAGAAAAATTATCATCTATTTTTATCCAGGATGCTTGCCAAAATAATATCCATACACAAGCACAAGCGCACATATTCACTGCACAGAGCACAATTATACCGCAGGCAGGCAACGACTCAAAATGAAGCTGCTAGCAGATGCATTTGAACTGGAACTCTTCTGCAACAGTAGCTCATTTAAGTTTCATTATTTTACAGGTCTTCAGAAAAACTGTAATATCTATCCTTTCCTGGAAGAATCCACTCTGTCTGTGATGAAGTTCATTTGCCACTCCACATGTGGAAGAACAGAATGGGCAGCTTGGAACAGGAGCAAAGCAGAATGAGAAGGGAGAGCAAATAGTTTAAAACACAATGACTGGATTTGCAACATTTATAAAAAATTCTTGAGTACTCCAAAATGCTCATGAAAGCATATTTCTGATGTGTGGTTCTCAGCATGTCTGTGCTGTATGCATGTAACAGATATGAAGTACATAACTTGAACTGAATAAAATTGCAAGAAAGTCACTGAAGTGGAACAAATATAATGGATTTGCCCTTTATGAGGAAGATGAAAATTCAGAATCACTCCTTTGCAACAGATTTACACAGGACTCTTCTTGGCTGGAGTTGCTCGAAGTCTAAAGCCAATCAGACCACTGACATATGGTGACTTACAAATCAAAACAAGCCAGTGGACTGAGGAGAAGGAGGTAGTTCAGAAAACTTGAGGATCAGGAGAGCAGATGAGTTGCAGTTACCTTGTGTGGCTGTTGGATGACAGGCTCTCCCAGGGCTGTATGCTACAGCTGGTGATTGCATAGGCTCCCCCGCAGCTCCCATCTAGTTTCATCAGCAAGGCTTTTGCTGCGTTCTCAGCTGTCTTCCGGCAGTCATGAGCTCTCTTAAGCATTTGAGTGATGTTTTCATCACCTGCCTGGTCCCCTGGTTTTCAAGCAAACAATCTGTTTCAGAACTTTCAGGAGGGTGATAGAAATTAAGGCAAGAGAAGAGATGCTTCTGCATGCTCTCAGTTTATACCAAGAAGATGACAATAAATTACCAATCTGTGATGTAAAAACAACTTTACTTCTGTGTGAGCGTCAGTGGTAACTGATGCCTGAATAATGCATCTCCCTCCCAGCCACAAGCTCCAGACACTTGCTGCTCTGGGTACATGTCATAAGTAATGTTTTATCTTAGCTAGTTTGTCTGTTTGCAAGGGTGTGCATTAGGATTAGGTTAGGATTGTCAAAATAATTCACTGTAAAAACATTTAGCCTAAATTACAACTTTTACTCCAATCAGTCCAGTGCTGTTTGACAGCGCAGTCATTTCCAGTGCTTTTTCTCAACCACCTTCAACTCAAGCCTAATGGTTTGCCAGAACACCTTCTTATAGGTTGCCTTTCCAGCTGAGGAATTGCATTACATCTTAGAAGCAGCCTTTCAGAGTTTACCATCATGAATCCTAAACTCAGAGAAAACTAGAACTGGTGTTTCTTAATTTGCTAATAATTTCTAGTGTTTATACAGCATTGTGCAGCTGGTAAGCCATCTCTTTAGCAGAGGCAGGACATAAACCACCACTGTCACCATACTTACTTACAATCTTAACTCCAGCAGAGTCATTAAGACACCTTAGTGGCTACACAGAAATTCTGAACAAATCTACAGTTTATTCATAGTTTACCAAATTCAATGCAAATATGTCAGAAAGTATTAATAAACTCTCCCACCCCTGGTCTGCTCTATGTCACATTTTAATTTTATCCTCCTTCGAGTCAAAGACCAATTACTCAAACTTCATACTTGCTAATTGAAGTGCGATGCACTAGAAAATAACATGAAAAAAATGAAGGGAGAATTTTCTGTTAAGAGCAGCTGCATGTGCTTAGCTCTAAGTGATGCAGAAGCAACTCCCATGAATTTTCCGCTCACAGATGTTGATAAAACTTGGCTGATCTTCAAACAAGAAAATCTGCTATCTCGGCATTTTAACCAAATTTAATGGTGAAGTAAAGGCATATAAACCAAACAACTTCCTGCAAGTTGCATCATGTAATGGTAAATGGTCACTATTTCCACTACAGGGCTGTAACTCTTAATACCATAACTAGGAGCTGTAGACAGACATCTGATAAAAACTAAATGACACATTTTTTCATAAAATGCATGTGACATGAAACAATAGTCAAACGTGAAGTACTTCTCTCTCCTAAGATTTCTTTCTGTCACTTGTGTGAATAGAAAATCTAAGACCAAATTCACTTTCGCTGGCCACTTATCTCTGCCAGCGGGGAACGCTCCCTAGTACACTCTGGAATGGAAAGACCAGAGTCTGCAAAAAAGGTGGATGAAAATGTCAGACATCCACTCTAATGTTTACTGCATGGAACACACACTGAACAGGCCAAGACATGTACACAAGGACCTGCTTCTAACACTGGCAGAGATGCAAAATAAGGGACATGGTCAGCAGTACAGCAACTGTGGGCTGAGTGCATCTAGGCATCTGAAACAAGAGACTGACCACATCAAGCCAGACGGTCACTCTGTCTCTAAGAGCTTTCTGTTTACACTTCACTGATTTCTGAGAAGCTAGTGCTGTAATAACTGTCTCAGCCAGGCAATTACTACACCTCAGCATAGCATGAAGAGCTATTCTTCTCTCTCAGAAGTTCTTCCCCTCTTTCTACTTGAAGATTACGATTGCTACCTTCCCCTACTGGTAAAAGGAATGGGGCTATAAAACCCAGATTAACATTCATTGTGTAAACACTGCTTTCTATTTGAAAACCATAGCCAGCAGCTGTACCTGCAATAGTGGCTCATTCCGTTACTTTGTAAGCAGTATACAAAAAAACCACCACCACCTATCCGCAAGATTAACTACCCACAAAGTAAGAAGAAATCCAGAATTTACAGGCTAACACCCCTGAAAACACAGTAAAACATTAGATAGAGTGTTTTAAAATTTCAGAGAAAAAGCAAAATGTGGACTGAAAAACTAGAGCCATTTTTTTGGACACTACTCAGTGCTGCCTTTATATTGTCTTATCCCAGTTTTTCATAGACTATATGCAGCTTCTAGGAGGTAAATGTTTCTGGTTCAAACAGTATGTGTCCTTGCAGTTAACACAGCTGTATGGCCCTAAGATACACATGCTCATGAGTATTGTTTAATAATTCCACTCTCTTCAGCTGCATGCCTGTAGGTGAATAACCTTTGCCAGAATAGATATCCCTTTGTGATAACATAGGTAGGTGAATTTACACTGCTGGCGAAATTTATGACTCAATTCCAGTCTCCTTTTCCCCTATTTTTTTTTGGTGTGTTAAATTATTTAGTTATTTAAAATAAAGAAAAGACTGCAAAGCATTGTTAAGTGATGGGTCATGAGCTGATTCACTGTTATAACTAAGTCAAATGGTAACTGACATGAAAAAGAAAAGTGATTCATTAACATCTTACCAACAGAGCCAACACCTGCAGCTCTGAACTGCCCAAGAATGAGACTCTGCTCACTTTCTGCCAGTGCCAACAGCAGCTCATATGCTTCTATGCACTGTTCACTGAAAGAGAAAATAAACCACAGAAATCTCAAAAAATGTATGTACTATTTAGAGGGGAAGAATACCTGCAACAGAAGTAGCTGCATGATTCCCTATGTCTAGGAGCAGGAATATTAAATGACATAACATGCACAGCTTCTATCACAAACATCCAACATTCTGTCTTTCCTTCTGATGGTCCCAGATTGGTCTCCAGTAATATAACAAGTTGAAAATGGAAGAGAATGACCTGATGTGAAGTAAGCTCCAGAAGTATGCTTTGAACAGTCAGCAATACGAACGGTAGTTGACACAATCCCTTTGAGAAACTTTGTTCAGGCCTTCTTACTATACAAAATAGAGTATTTTAAACTCTGCTAATATACTATGCAAAGTATGCTAAGAAGACAAGAAAATACTTCTTGCTCTGTCCTAGCTGTAAGCTTTTCTTCCTTACAACACAACAGCTTCTCAATACAGTTGTGAGTCACTCATTCCTGCTGCATTCCAATAGTTTTGAAAATATATACATTAATATGTCTATTTGCAATTTACATTTCCTTGTAATTTGCTCAAGGCTGATAGTAACAGAGTACATTCTTTAAAAGGCCCAAAATTTGTCTTAAGACCAGAACTGCCTGCTTAAAATTAGTTGCAGTTAGAGGAGTTAAATGACACCACCTTTTACAAACAGTTTAGAGCAAATTTAGATACACATAACCAAATACCAACCAATTCATCCATGATGTAATTAATATAAAGTCACTCTGAATTATGAGGAGTACAATAATACTCCTTGATCTACTCTCTAGTGAAAGGTGTCAGCATAATACAGAAAATAAGTATCTTACGACTGGATGCGGCAGAAACAGTTTTAACCTACACACAACCCCTAATTCAAATGCTAATTCAGTATTTAAAAATAAAAAGATAAATCTGTACATGTCTGTTAGATTGAGTTGACTACTGCTGGTAAACCAGGGCTGAAACACACTTGTACCAGTCATTTCAGTTTGGTAGTTTTTCATGCCCCCTCAAGGGGGCATTTTATCAAATAGGAAACAAACATAAACAGTGTTATCATGGCACACCAACCATTTCACTCTCAAAGACTTCTATCAAATATCATCACTCCCTCTTTTTCTCTCTGAAACACCCTCTGCGTAGGTACACACCTGTACTGCAATGCAAGCCTGAGGGCTGTGGCATTGGACTCGTACTTCCCAACAAGCATGCTCATCCTTTCAGCATTGCTCTTGCACTCTTCCAGTGTTATTGTCAACAAGTCATTCTGGGATTTCAAGTGCTCAATGCGGCTGCAGAAAAGGAAATAATTTGTAACCTTCAAAACTAGCTTGCAGACACTCCTGAAAACTTGAGAACAATCATAATTTGAAACAACAAATACCATCTGGTCTATGCAAGGTTTTTAATGAAGCTGCCAAAATCTGTAAATTCTGCATTCCCTATCAAGAACCAACAGGATAGTTAATTTCTCTTAGGACAGCCTCTTCTCCTCTCCTCCCCTCCCCATAAAATGTAATTATAACCCTGTACAACAGCAGGAAGCAGAAAGCTTGTACCCTTATTTTGTAGCCACAAGACAGCATAGGCCAGTTTCATAATAACCTTTTGCTTAATTTTTCTTCCTCCATTCCTCACTTCCTGCTGCCACATTTGGTTCTTGTTTTAAATGGTGTATTCATTAGTGCAATGTGCGGGTGTGTGTAAGGATCATGCAGCTGCATAAATTCCCCCTTTCTTTGAAACATCCTGAACAACCATTTCACTTCAAGTCATATTCTGGTTGTGATTAGAGAGGTAACTTCCAAAACACAAGAAGGCAATGAAATCTCCAAAAGTTCTGGCAAAAGTCAAACAGAAACTCAGATCAGAAATTAACTGCAATATTCTTCTCACTGAGGTTAACTCTGAACCTGAAAATGAGGCTTCAGAATATCAGTATTACTGTTTATTCTCACTGCTAACAACTGCACTATATGTCAATGTACTACGCCTAATAGCTAAAGTTGGACATACACTGAAAACAGACAGGCAAATGATTTCAAAATCTGGACAGGCACCTAATGAAGAAAGTGCCATCCAGAATTCTAAAATCACTGACTTCTTAACAAACACAAGAAGAGCTAGTATATCTTTTATTCAGTGACCAGAATAAAGCCCTGACTTTCCTAGCTGCTAGAATCATAGAATCATAGAATGGTTTGGGTTGGAGAACTTAAGATCATCTAGTTCCAACCCCCCTGCCATGGGCAGGGACACCTTGCAGTAAACCATTTCACCCAAGACTCCTTCCAACCTGGCCTTGAACAATGCAGGGATGGTGCATTCACCACTTCTTTGGGCAATCCATTCCATCTCCTCACCATCCTCACAGTGAAGAACTTCTTCTTTATATCTAACCTGAACTTCTCCTGTTTAAAGTTTTAAGCCGTAACCCCTTGTCCTATCACTACAGTGCCTAATGAAGAGTCTCAGAAGCTTCACATACTGTATCTTTTTTGACACTTCCTGTACGGATACGTTGTCAAAGCACAATTGTGCATTGAACAAAAAAAGTAAGCAGATCAAAAAAAGAAGAAAAAAAAAGGGGTTAAATTTTGCAGCACTACAAAAACATGAGCTACAGATAAAAGATTGTACTGATTAGACTGAATATGAGATAGCTGTGGGGAAGAGCGACCTTGGCAGGAAACATGCTGAGACATGATTCTCCCATTCCTCATCCACAGTTTTTATCTGCCAAAAAAGGACATGAAACATGGATTTTGATAGAGTTTAGTGCAGTATTTTAATTGCAATCAGAAACATGTAATTTTTCTTCTGCAGACAGAAGTCTATTTACTGGTATATATGCCACACCACCATACATCAGTATATTCACTGATAAAGTTAATGCTATAATTCTGTTTCTTCAGGACAAAATGAAGCAAACTAATTCCAGAATGATGGAGAATAAGTTATGGGAATCTTTATTTTTTGCAGTGATGTGCCCTATGAAAAAAGATGCCATGTCTAATTGGTCAGCAGACACTACAGTGCATTGTCACAGGTGAAGGCGTCATGCTGATCCAGCAATGCGTGACCAAACTGTCATACTAATAGAAAGAATCCTTAGTATATGATTCAATCTTCATCAATTACATTCTGTTGTATCTGAACTACATTCCACTGCAGATGCCATAGTTGAGCTGGGACTGAACCAAGAAAAGGATAAAAAACCTGTTTGTTGTTTGTTGGTTTTGGTTTTGTTTTTTTAACAGCAGACAACACATTTGAGGCTGTGTAACTTTTCACCTTACCTATTTAATCTTTCTGTCTCCACTTCAAACTCTCGGATTTTACTCTCAGAGATAGCAGATCCATGTGAATAAAGAGTCTGAAATATTTCCTGGATGTTTGAGCAGTCTTGGAGGGAATGTGCCAAATGTTCAGCCACAGTACTAGACACCTGCACATGGCAATTAATACATTATTGTGAGTAGGTAACAACTGGATTCCTCTAACAGTAGTCTGCATTGAGAGCTGTATTTGCTTGCACACACTAACTTCAAGGCATTCATTATTCAGCTTTTATCATGAATTTTAAAGTTAATAAAATATTTAAAAGTTTCCACTTCAAGAAGCTATTTTGATTTAAAATTCTACTAACCAAAGGGTGAAGCCCACTGTTTCATCATGTACTTAGAAAGCCTAATACACAAGTTATTTATTTTCTTGAAAACTTAGCAAAAGGCAAGAACTAAGCTCTTCAGTGAAACAAATATTAACACATAGTAACAACAGCATTATGGATGGACACTGGCATCACAAAGCAGAACGTGGTTCTCTGTTGACTGGAAATTGTGAAATGCAATTGAGCAGTTTTTCCTTGAAGAATAATATTTTGGAGGAACTGACTCCAATATTATCCTCTTGAGGTCACTCAGAGAATGATTTCTAGCCATCAGTTATGAGAAAATGAGATCTTAATAGTGGGTGAAATATTCTCTGTTGAAATATTTTTCCCAAAATAACTTTAAAAGTATTTGCAGTTAGCAAGAAAACAATGCTTTTAATTGAATACAAGTAATTTTCAGAAGGTATCATGCATGTACATAATTATTAGTCCTTACCCCTATGCTGCTGATTTCTGATCCTAAGACAGGCCTATCAGATGATGAAGACTCTGATCTTGTCTTTGACAACTTCACTCTTTCAGCAATCTGGAAGTCAGAATGCTGCACAGGTTACAAACTCAGTAAAGATTACATAAAATGCATTTGTTCACTAGCTACACTTGCAAACCTGGAATAAACTTAAGTACAACATAGGTGTAAAATTGACACCTGTGCTGTAACAGAGAATTACAATAATTAGCGCTTAAATCCTTTATGCAACTGAAGTTTATGGGCCTGCTTAGGATACCAGAAACTCTGGAGATTACAGGTGTCTCCTAGTTCATCACACACTTGTACAGCAGCTTTGCAAAAGCTGTGCTTTTCCCCAGTAATCACAAGTACTGCTGCAACACACAATAGCTCACCTTGGCTATGGGAATGTCATTGCTACTGCTGCTTGTGCTCAGCTCTCCCGTGCTGGGGTTAATGGGTCGACTGGCAGAAGTGAGGCGACTTGGGCTGGATGGGCCTGTGGCCTGTACGCTTTGTAAACGTGTTTGCAGCTCCCGAACCTACAGCAAAACATAACATTATGTTTTTTTCACTTTTATGTTTTAAATAGTTTGAAGATTTTCTCATTGTTTAGCCAAGCCTAATTGCTTCTGGCTTGAGCACTGAGGTATTTTGTCCTGTGGTGGCTGCAAAGTTTTCATGTGGGAAGCAGATGAATGGACGTTGTTTTAAAAATTCATTGTCAGTTATTTTAAACTATCTGCAACGTGGAAACATGCAAATGTAATACTGTGGAGTAATTACACAAAGTTTCAGCTTGTTTTATATCACCCCATCACTGCAGTTGTACTACATGTACAGAAATTACTCTCTCGAAGGTGAAGCTAATGCTCCAGCCTACGATTACGATATCCAAACAAATCAAATTAAGATCCTGTTGTTAATAGAAAGCTCCAGTGTTTAAAACACTCCTGACATAAATATATCAGATGATGACTTTGTCATAAAGGTCAAAGAAATTAAAATATTAATTGTGCTTTCAAACCTACAGTTGAGTAAAACTACCAAACATTGAGTAATGTACAGACACGAAAACTCCAGCAAATTACCCAACTGTCTGCAGAACTGCTCTGTAAACATACAGTGCAAACACTGCACAGTCCTCAAAACCCACTGGATACTTGTAGCGTTGACACCAAAAGATTTTAAGGATTAAGGGTAAAAAAAATCTGCAGGATCCAAACTATACCTGAGCTAAAGATTACAATATTTACCCTGGAACAGACAAAGAAGAAATGGTCTGCCTAAGAGAAAACAATTATGCCACAAGGTAAAGTGACAGAGCTCATTTTTCTCACAGAATCTCAACGAAGAGTGTGAGATGAGAGGGAGAAAGCCACCTGAAGAGGAAACTTCCCCGAATATGGAGTGTTTAATACTCAAGTTTCTGCGCAGATTTTGTTGTAACAGTCCATCTGCAAGATGGAACTGGTGAAATTTTACCAAAGGTCCAGTGCAATGAGGCATTGTTTAAAAGCAAACAAACAGGAAAACCCACTAGAGATGTGTTCTCCATAAAAATCAAACCCCTGCCTCAAAATCTGACTTAAAAATTGCTAAAATATTATTCCATGCCCACAATCTAATTCTGGAAGATTTCAGTCCAAAAGCAAGTAACAATCCAAATTTAAGGCAATCAGAGTATTAAAGTCACTTAAAATGCTAAACATTTGTTAAATCCAAAGTTTAAAACCATGTTATGTAAGGATAACATTATATAGAACTTTAATGCAGATAGGTTTCCTTTAATGTTTGTTTTATTACTGCACACTGACTATTGGCCACGATTACAAAGCCAATTATTCTTAAGGATCTGTAAAACGACATTAGTACCAGAAAGAAAAATGAACACAGCTAAGACTGTAGCCAGGCAAATCTTTGCTCAGGAAAGCACAGCACAGGTATCAACTGTGAAAGCAGCAAATTGCTGCTTTCAAACTGTATCATAGTAGCAATCACAACTTACATACACTGTCTACTTGTTCATGCTTCTTGATGTATTCACTGATTCACACCTTCATTTGAGAAATTGCATGCTGGTTTAATTGCTGTAAATGGCTGCACTAACTTTAGCAATGCTGAGTACTGGAAGGTAATTCTGAGCAGGATATAGGTCACAAGTTCATGTGACCTATAAAATCACCTATCTCACAATTCACACATTCACTAAGCTGGAGCCTCACCACTGGACTGCCCACCCACCAGACTGCCCAAAGGCAGCTTAGGTAACTATTTCTGGTCATCAAAACCTTCACCGTGTATAGAGCAGGAATGCACCATCTCCTCAAAAAGTACTTTTCCACACTAGTAGTTATTTTACTGGAAAAATAAGGAAGATCAAAGAACAAGAACCAAGAAAGAAAAAAAAAAGAATTCAGAAGACCCAGTTTTTTCCTCTGGATCCATGAATGGATGAGTTCTGAACGGACAAGTTAAAAAGTATGATTAAAAATATCTGACCACCCCTGCTCAATGCTGCTACCCATTTTAAGTGTCATTACCAATATAAATTAATCTGAAGGTAACATTTATTAGTAGAATGAAGGTAATTGCAGTAATGCACATGAGGCACAATAAACACTGGAGAGAGAGAAAGGGCAGGTCTTACCGGAAATGGATGACAAAATTGAAAAATCTGATGGGTGAAGACAAACAAACAAAATCAAAAAAAGCTCCACCGAAAGACAGGAAAGTGTGGATTTGTGAATTGGGGAGGAATAACAAGGAAGGATTTAAAGACAGATTTCTTCAGCTCTTGCATCATATTAGGGTATAAAAATTGCTTAAGTATCCAAAAAGTCTCAACTGAAATGGAAACTGGCTGACTGGCAGATCTAATTATATGATCAGGAAAAAAAACCCAACAAACAAACAAACAAAAAAACCCAAAAACAAAAACAGAGGAAAAAATGAGAAATTCAGGAAAGAATCTGTGAATACCACAATTTAAAAAAGGAAAGAGCGAAGATTTTCTAAACACCTGGAGGAAGTCCAAAGAATTCCAGAAGTAAAATAGTGCTGGAACCTTGGAAAAAGCAGAAGCAGTGGCATTAGACACAAGGCAACAGAACCATTGGACCTGAGAGCAACAGATAGCCTGTATACCAAACAGATGTTTGCATGTGACTTACAGATGTTCTCAAATCCTTAATATAAACTTAAATAACCGGAAATTTTATTTAATTACTACTCTATGTTTAGCAATCCGAACTAATTGTTTACCATTTTTTTCCTCTGAATGGTGAGAACTGGAGTAGGAAACAGGAAAAACAATTCTTCGTGCCATAATACCTTAAGAGCTAAATAAAAAGACAGCAAGAGTAGAAGAGAATACACTACAGTAATGCTGTGTTTCTGAAAGATTTCATAAGTCATTAGCAGGCATTACAAACATGTTTGCAGAAATGCATAGTGTGCTACAGAAAATAATCTGGCAAAATATACTTATTTTCTACAATCATGAATCTAAATAATTTTACTCTCTGTATTTTACACATGCATACTCATAACTACATGATTTGTAAACACATCCTAAATGAAAAAAAAAATAAATAAACAAAACAAACCCACAGATAAAGACTGCCTGTTTTGTCACTGATTTCCACATGCAAAGGACAACTGCTTTTGTTCCCAAACCAGTTTCAAAAAGGGACATGGTTGTGATTCTTTCTACCCTACCTGTGGCCTGTTCCAACATGCAGCATCTTTGAACCCTTCAAGCAGTTAACATTTTTACCACTTCTATTTTTTTCCTTGTTACATTGTGGAGGAAGATGAAGTGCAACAAATCACACGAAGTGAGCAGACCTCTCCCGCTTTCTAATTTATCCATGCATATTGCAAATCTATGGAGGGTGGCGTGGTTTAAGCCCAGCTGGTAACTTAGCACCATGCAGCCCCTCGCTCACCTCTCCCCTTCTCCCCTCCCTGGGGATGGGGAGGAGAATCGAAAGAATGTAAACCCCATGGGCTGTGATAAGAACAGTCTGGTAACTGAAGTATAATATAACACTACTACTACTCTTACTGATAACGGAAGTAACAAGGGGAGGGAATATAAAACTAAAAAGGGAAGAAAAAAACAGTAAGCAGCAGTGATGCACAATACAGTGCTCAGCACCCACCAACCAATACCCAACCCGACCTGAGCAGCAATCCGCCCCTCTGGGTAACTCCACCCAGTTTATATACTGGGCATGACATGCTGTGGTATGGAATACCCCTTTGAACAGTTCAGGTCAGGTGTCATATCTCTGCTTCCTCCTGGTTTCTTGTGCCCCTCCTCATCGCAGAGCATGACAGACTGAAAAGTCCTTGACAAGGCAAGTGCTACTGAGCATCAGTGTGTTATCAGCATTATTTTCAGAATAAAGCCAAAACACAGCAATGCACCAGCTACTAAGAAGAAAAATAACTCTATCCCAGCCAAAACCAGGACAGAAGGGAAGATGGAAAATGAAATAACCTGTGTCAATTCAATCATCTCTGACTGGTAAGGGCCCTTCCCAGCCTAAAGAACCCTTAACCTTTCCATCAGGCCTAGTCATCATTATTTTCAGTCAGGTAACTTTCAGACCCTCTTAAACTGTTAGCACCAGAGCTAACAAGGTCTGATTTTTTAGCTTGTCTGTTGTGGTTGAGGGGAGTATGGTAAAAAAGTCTTTCCTGGTACTTATCAGAGCCATCTCCTCAATGAATTCTCTGGAGCTGAATAAGCGTAGACATCTTCTCTGCATTTCTCACATTCAATAAATACGTAAGAGCTTAGCTGTGACTAGGAGTGCAGATCTGAAGATCAATCTGCAGTTCAAACAATTATTTTGAGGAACAGAGAAAGGGTACAACACACAGACACAACAAGCTATGGGAGAACAGGTATGCTACTACACTTTATACATATGGCTTTCTTAACTGGCAGGAGAGGTTACAGTGATACAAGTCTCTTAGTAAGCAAAGATTCCTCTGCTTCTGACACCTTTCAGACAGAAGTCCCTCTGTGCAGAAAGATAACCTGGGTGCTGCACCTCTATAAAGGATAAAAAGCAACAAAAACTAAAGACATGGATGGACATGACATGGGAGATGAAGAGTGGATTCCCTAGCTCTGACCACAACTGAAATACCAGAGAATGGAAACAAACACAAGTGAGGGCAGTAAGTGTATCTCAGGCTTTTTCTCATTCGATTTCAGATTAATCACTAGGTATTTGCGTACAAGCTTGGAAGCAGAAGCAAAGCTTTAGTTTGTTACCAGCTAAGGGGAGATACCACTACATATGCAAGGAGGCAGAAAATGGAAATAGATTTTGGCTGCTACCTCAGGTTTCTGGTGTGCATCAAGAGACAAGGAGACAGAACAGTTCAAGGATCACTTTAAACTGCAAGCTCACAGTAATCGCCAAAGGCCCATAACATAACGTATTAGCCTTCTCTAGCAATCTGGAACAATACCTTTTGATCCCAACACATGGTGCCAAACAAGGGTAATGAGCAGCTTGTGCCAGCTTCCTGTTAGGAGAACAGCCTGGGCTCAAGGATGCCTGAAAGACAAATGATCTGTCTGCTGCTGTGGTTTGGGTAGGTTTGAACTTCTTGCAAGAGCAAGGTATTTTGGGAGAGTCCTTATACTAAAATAAAGTTTCTCAGAGTGGGGACAATCTGGGCAGCTGGAGGGATCACACATTAAAAATGGCACTTCTATACTCCTCTGCAGATTAGTTTTCATGAAGCTCTTAAATTGAAGATATCTAAAATACTAAGTCTGGTTTTGTTCTGGTCAGTTTGGTGACTTCAGATGAGTTTGGAGCACATACAGATCGATTTTCACAACTAGAAGCATCTGATTAACAACAAGTTGACATACGGCAGAGAACAGACTTGACAGACTTTCAGAGCTGGAATTCCCTTTTCACTCTAGCCTAAGTTCTTCAGAACAGCCTCAGGGAAGCCTGAATGCTGCTCACACCTACTGCTTCCCATGCCAGCAGGCTGCTTGGGACTAATCATCTGGTAACTTTCATGGGCAGTAATTGCAGTCACGATGGAATATATATGCTGTATCAGTGCTGCTCATCTGATTCCCCTGGTGGATACAAGAGACTTTGTGTAAGGATGCCATATTACTTTTTCTACTACTATTTAAGCCTGTTTCCACAAATAACAGTTGTAAACAGTGCTGACGTGATTACAACCTTATTCTCATGTAATAATAATCCCATTATCTAGTACAGAATTTTCACAGCATCTTATCTGCATTACTAGATTCAGGATTACGGTCAGCTACGGGTAAGCATTTTCTAAGGCACTGACTGGCTCAGACTTTAAATAGATCTGATTTTTAATACAGCAATATTATACAGAGGTAAAATAAACCTCTGTGTTATGGAATTAGCTGCTACACTACAGGCACCCTACAGAAATAAGAGATCACCTTATTTACTAATGACCCGTAAGAAACGAACTCCATATGTATGTTGTCTCTTAGCTACTCTTCTAGAAAGCGGCTCACTCTGTTAACTGAGCACAGTAAATACCTAATTTAATTACATCTCCAATGAGCCTGAAAAAAATGTATTGAAAGCACTCTACTTGATTACAGACTGTCTAAAGTAACAGCCCTATTGATCTGGTCAACTTCAAGCTTACTCACCTCACCCAATTTAATTTGAGAAGAACAGTAATTAGATTTTGCTTGGAACTCCTTCCAACCCTCCAGGGAAATAATCTGAAGTAACTTTGAGTTCAGGTGGCATACAGAAAATATTTGATAGGTCAAACATTTATTTTGTTGCAGCTATGGACACAGAATTACATCAAAAATGCAAATGTGGTTTCTTGTGAAATAATTACATAGTGTTGCTTGCCAGGTCATATGCCATGAACAAACTTCTCTGGTGGGGGTAATAAGCTGGTTGTTCTGCAAGTTCAGGATGATATTAAAATCCATATTTCAATAAAGTCCTGTACGTGTGCAAACTAAATAAAAACTATCATGGGGGGGGGGAACTCTAACCAACCAACTAACCAAAACACCACCTGCCAGCTGTGCCTGAATATAGAGGCTGCTTGATTTTGCTATGCTCTATGCCAGTCCAACATTAACCGTTTGTTTACTGGGGAAGACATCCATCCAATCTGTCCAAGAAGAATTCCCTTAATTAAAGAAGAATGAACATTTAAAGTGGGTTGCTGCTTACAAAAGACTGCTCACAGTCTCTACAGAGCAATTCAAGACTCTCTGGGGTCAGTGGTCTGAACACTATTTGGGTCAGTAATGTCCCTGCTGCTGCTACCATCCGTAACTGCTCTAACCACTTAGATGATCAACAAGCTGATGACCTCAACTCTGTTTCCAGCAGAGATGCTTCCATAACAGAGATATATTAAGAACACATGCAGCATCCCCGATAACAGATCCAATAGACCAGCAACTACTAGATCAGCATGATTTTAGCCTAGGCCCTGCCTATGGTAAAGAAACTGTGGAATACTCAACAATACAGCCAGTACTTGTGGGGCTCCACCAAAGCTTGGTTCACAGGGTCTGACCAAGTCAAGCAGCATCCACACGCACAGAACCGAAGAGCATCTTCCTCACCATCTAACCCAACTCTCTGCTACTGCTGTCAGCCAGACAAAACATAATAGTTTTGTGCAGAGATACTAAGGCTAACTCTAGAATTAATGCAGCTCTATTAACTGGACCAAATAAAAGTACACTTTTTTGCTTTCCTTTGGATACAATCCTAATGTAACAATCCTGGTTTTAATGGTTATCCCTGCACAGTATTTCATTTCATTATATAAACTTTACCTATAACTCCTTACTGTTTCTTCAGAACCACAGTCATCTTGTCTGTTAGATACCTCATAGTCTAATTTCTGGTCTAATACAGCCACAAGTGGTTTACATTAATACGTTCTTGCTCCAGTTTTGTCCCTATGTTTGAGTAGCCACTAGTTTTCATTCTTACCTTCTTTCTCCAGTACTTGTAAGGAGAAATCAAATTCAGATTTTGCTTTACAGCTTGAAGGGGACAATCACTTTAAGTCACTTCTCTAAGTAAGCTACCCATTCCTCTGAGCATCTTCTACATCGTTTTTGTCAATTTAAGCAGAACTTTTTCAAGTGTAAGCAGTAAGACCTACATATAACATTTCAGACCAGATCCTACCACTCTATATAATCTTTCCAATCTACTGGAAATAACTTATTTGGTGCAACCTAGGATTGAATATGACACCATGCATCAACAGCTCCACCACTGCTGATCCCTGAGGGTACAAACACTAATTGTTTCCCTTTTTCTGTTTTGGATTTTTTTTTTTTTTCTGAGGAGCTCCTGGCTGTCAGTGTAAATGCCTGTTACCAATCTTTTTAGCACCTTAACCTGTATTCTGTATTTCACAGAATCACAGAATAGTTCGGGTTGGAAATGACCTTAAGATCATTTAGTTCTAACCCCCCTGCCATGTATTTCTCACATGTTAAATCTTTCTCTATTGATTCTATCCTCAAGGCCACCTATTTTTGACTTGTTTGATATCCCAATACTTACCTGTATCATCTAATAGTGTCAATATCTGCATTTGTGTAAGCAAATTTCAGAAGCAAATACTTCTGCTCTCTGCTCACTTACCCCCTTCTCCCACCCCCATCCTGCAACCTGCAATAATTCACCGGGTGCATAAATGCTACTTCTGTAGCTCAAGGGGTAGTACTGCCTCTGTTTAAAAAGAAGCGTCAGTATAAAACCAGTCCAGAAACTTCAGAACTGATGACATCTTACGCTTACAGTATATCATAAAAATAAATTTTACAAAGGAAAAGTTGAAGTGGTCCTGTTTTATTTGACTGCAGATTACTGTTCTTCCCTCATCACACATACCTTTTTTTAGTGTTAGAGTCTAGGCAGTTTTTCAAAGGTAATTTGTGACTCTGTATCTGAAGACTGTAAGTCTCACACAACAAGCTTCATGCTAAAATGATGCAGTCACTAGGGAACTACATTGGTTTAGAAACAGTATTTGTCAAAAAGGTTGATCTGCTGCCAGTAGGTAAAGAGCAACACTTACAGTAACTTTACCAAAATAAGGTTGCCTAAATTGTCACTCAGATTTAACACATACACTTGAAACTGCCTGTTCTGAAAACATAATTATTTCCCATCTAGCCAAAACTCTGCAGATTCAACAGGGCCCAGTTAAAGAATTTAAAAAGTAATTGAGCTTGAGGTCATGTTCTTTTGGAACTCTCATCCTTTATGTACCATTTTCTGGGTTATTTTACTCTGGACTCCACACAAAGCACAAGGGCTTTATCTGACCTTGCAGCACTAGAGAATGTAGACAGGGCAGCAGGACATGGCTGGGACTATTCATTGTTCAGTTCTGAGAATTATTACCCTCTGACAGGAGTCCTGCTCTTTTTCTTTCTCCTAATCACAAATTGAATTCCCATCAAAACCAAAGAAATATCTGTTGCTTACAGGAAAAAAAATGCCTCTCAGGAAAAATCACTAAATGAACATCTGCTTTCTCTATAGCCGAGTTACATACGCTTCCTTGGAGATGAGTATCAAGGTTTTTGGTAACTCATCATTTCTGGTATCAGGTTGTTGTACACTTTGGCTGTTCATCATACACTCTTTTTCAATTATGTTCAGGTTTGTTCCAGTTCTTTAATTTGTATGGCTCAGCTTTAAAAACAAAAAGCCCTACAGTCAGTGCAGGAAGCAAGATTGAAGAGAAGCTTGTTGTGGTGACAAAATTATACAGGTTAGGAAGAACAAGAAGCATGATCAATACAGTAGCCTTACCCTCCTACGCAGTCTGTCCCTTTCTTCACGAATAGCATTTATGGTGGCCTTGGTCCTGTTCAGCTCCTCCTCTTTGCTACACAGCATGGCTGTGAGGCTCTCATTCTCTTCCCGCAGGCCAGCCAGCTCCTTTTCCCATTGAGATCTCTCTTCAGACAGATTTGGATAAAGGTCACGTCCCAGTACACACTCAATCTCTTCCACAGTCTGCAAAAATACAGTCATCAAAAACCAGAAAGAAGCAGAAAAAAAGACTGAACAAGACCAATGGTACAAAGGACATGTGTGTAACAGGCAACTATATATACACTTATACGTACATACCCAGCCCCACAACACCATTAGTTTGCTTCTTTTGTTTCATAAGTAAATACAAATAAAATAATTGTTGCTTATTTTGATAGTTTGGCCATTTAATCAAAACATTTCATACTGACCAGCATACATTTTATAAGCAAGAAAAACATGCCACCCAAGAGTGACAGCAACTGTGGTAGTTTTATCTCAGAACACTTTAAAACAAATTAATGATGCCTTGTCATGGGTAAGCACTGTGCTGCATGTTTCTTGCCTGAATGACAGGCAGAAAGTAGCAGCCTGTGAATGTGCATAGCATGGAGTCTTTCTTAGTTCTAAGCCAACTCCACAAAAGAGAAAAGCGTGGGATAGCAAAAAAGGAGGAGCCTCCTTTCCCATGTTGCTAAGCACGTTCTTTCCTAGAGGTGACAGAGAGATAAAAGAAAGAACACTGGCCTCAGCTAGGCTTATGTTATACAGAAGATGTTACAGCCCTTGTAGGGCCTACAAAAGGCAGTAAGCTTAAACTTCTTTTCTAAAAGAGCAATGCCTTTTATCAGTTTCACTTGGACCTATACATTTGAAACTATGACAAGGTAAGTTACTTCAATACCACATGAAGATGAATTTAAGTTCTGAATAAGCACAAAGTGGTTAATCTGACAGTCTGAAGAGAACCTCTGTAACAGCAGGAGCATTCTTTCTTGATGATGCCAGCCTTCTTTAAAACAGTGCCTATTCGCTATTGTGTTCTCTCCCATCTTCACTCAAACTCTCCTCTTTCTTCCCTGCTGTTTCCTTACCCCTCTAATGCCAAGTTCTGCTGCTGCATCCCTCTACCTTATTCCCGTGCTCTTAGTGTTGCTATTTTTGCAACCCCTCCTTTCCCAAAGACTCCTCTCCTCAGAGCACGACTGGGGGTGATAAGCCTGGAACGACACTGAAAGACTGTAATGAAGTAGCAGGAAGAGGGGCTTATCACGGAGCTATCTTCAGACAGGCTGCTGCTGCTCCTCCAGACTCCACTGCTACCATCTTCCTACACAAGTACAAAGTTCAGGCAGTGACAGCATCAGCATGCATGTGACAGTCATACTAAGGGCTGCCCTGTAGTCCTTAACAAAGCTGAGGAACCTTTCTGCATGTGGTTATGCTCCTTCATTTTGACATGACCAATGTCAAATACTGTGACCATTTAGTGAGCCTTTTGCTCACTAAAATATTACAATATATTACCATATATAATACCATATATTAAAATATTACCACAATTCTCCTGTTTGACAGCCAACACGCTACCATCCTCAATGCTAAATAAAACATCAATACTATACATGGATATACCTATGTAAACTACCAAGGTTTTTATTTTTCTCTAAAGCAGTATCACAGAGCAGTTTTATCCAGCCTGCTGCTGCACAGCAGATAAATCAGGTATAATTTCATGGCTCACAGGATCACATTGCAATGTAATGTAGTAAAATGTCCACTAGGGAAGAAAAAAGCCAACGGTCAAAGCAAAAAACAGCCAGAATATTTCAGATTTCATGATTCCACCCATTTTAAGTCTCCAAGTTCTCTGTCTGAGAAAGCAGGAAAGGAGCCATGGGTGGAAACCTGGAGAGGAGCTTTACATGTAGGTTTTGCTATATTAAACATACTGATGACACATTTCTCTAGCTTACAATGGGACCATGTTGGAGAGATTCCTATCTTCCTGAAAGGTTAATAAACTTAGCATGCTACCACTTGTCAAACACAAACAATCCCAGGCTCTATAGCATAGCCAGTGAGGAACAGTCTTCCCCAAAAATGGCTATCCATGTAGAAATCACATGAAAATAAAATAACTGCATTTTGGACCAGGAAAATGTTGCTGACAGTTACTTATAAAAATTTGAGTGTAGTTAATTTGAAGCAACAGCAAATAAATGGGGTTAAAATAAAAATCTTGAGAATTAAGCTTATGGCAGCTACTTTGACATTTTGTTGAAGCCACCCCCTGTGCAAGTTTGTTTCATCTCACTTTGGAGACCTCTGTGGACCGTACACAGACCAGCCTCTTATCTGTTTTCCAGGATGCTCAATCTTTCTCTTGGTGAATATTGACTTCTGAGAATACTTACCCTTAAAGCACCATATAATATTGAGTAACATTAAAAGTATTGATCCTAATCCTTCAAGACTCTCAAACAAACTCAGAAGTCAGTCTGTCTGTTGCTCTCAAATATACCCACAGTCTTCAAACTACAACTCAACATTTATTTCTTTATAGACCTTTATACTCTTCCACCACCAGAAAGAGAGGGGACCTTTCCCAGTAGTATGCAAAAGTGTCTAAGCTATCTAGATTGGTCACAGACCTCCCCCCTTTAACAGCAAACTTGTCATTGTATTTGTTTTTATATGAATGAGTCACTGACACAAAAAAACCTGTTCATCTCATTCCCTCTATGTAGTAAGATACTTTTCAGTTCTCTTGGTTTCAGGTTCTGAATTGCAATCCCTTCATTATATGTTAGCAGGCATCCCTCTTCTTGTTCTGTTTACAAAACCAAGACATACAACCAGTTGAATTATTGTTCCTGTGTCTGGCATGTCTCATTAGAATTAATATAACAGGCATTCTTTGTGTTAAACACTAGCTTCATATTTTAAGACAGTCAAGTCACCACTTACACACAGTTTAAGTCATTTTATCTTCAAATTTCAGCAACTATTACATACTGTGCTTTCAGTTACCTGTCAGTGAGTAGCTGTGTAACCTGTGACTTTGGGCAAGTCACAACTTATTCACTACATAACCTTCATAAGATAAATGTTGAGTGTCCCTGTTTCTCTGAAATGAGCGTAAGACAAATAGACTTCTCATTTGTTATTGAAATTCCACTAGTACGGCCTTGCAGAATTCAGTGTAAAACAGGTATGCTACTGCTTACCCAACACACAGTGAGCTGGAGTTGATTTCTGTGAAGTACTTTACTTTTACACCTTTGGAAGTAAAGTGCTATTACAACAGAATGTGACAGGATGTTTCAGGTAAAGTGCATGCTGCATTTAGAGCCTAATGTTACCATTACCTTAATGGCTAAATCACAATGTTCGCTGGCAGTAGTGAGTTGTTCAATATGTCTATCCACTTCTGCTACCGATAAACTGCAGCTGCTTTTTTTCCTCCCGCAGACAACATTTTCCAGACCTGTCAGCACTCTTTGCAGTTCTGAATTCAAGTCACTACAGTTATCTAAAAGAAAGCAAAACAAAACAAAAATTATCTCAATAATTACTGACTCAGTGAAAAAAAAAATTAACCCAGGAAGTGCCCGTTCTAGAACTGCTGCACTGATATTGTTCAAGGAATGTCCTTGCAAGATGCCCATTTTTCCTCACAAAGTGATAGGCTTGAACACCATAACCACATTAACTGAAATAATGAATTACCTCCCATCTGACAAAAAACACCCCCCTACTTATCTGAAGTGTTCGTTCTTTATCCAAAGACCTCTTCTTTTCTTGAAGAACATCACTTTAAGGCACCACATGCTCACATAATGCGAATTTTCTTTTTCATTGGGTTTCTTTTTTTTCCTAGAAATAGGCTTTTTCAGGGCCTATTACGCTGATTTTATTATCCCTAGAGGTTTTTCCTCTGTAAATCTAATTTTTTTTTCTGCCTGGTACACTCACACTATGACTTGACATTTTTAGAAGGAATTTTTTTGTGGTTGTATTACGTGCTGCCTGATTTTAAAAAATACTGGTGTTTAGAGAAATGATCCCTATGTTTCATTTTTACAGCTACTTCTTCTTCAAATGCAACTGCCGAATATTCAGGGACCTTAACAGCACACCTTCTTGTTTGTTATGTTGCATAATTCTACAACCATGTTAGCAGCATATATAACACTATTTTGATTATAAAATGTGACAGTCACTTCCTTTTCTGTCTTTAGGCAAAGCGATTCTAGTGTCTTGGGCATTGCCTCAGCATCCTCCATTTCTGTGAAAAGCAGTGGCTCTCAGTACGATGCTATCTCACTTCAAAAAGATATTTTCGTTTTTATTAGGCTTACACCTGGCAACAGACATGGCAGTTCCTAAGGCAGGCACATGGCAGAATTCACCCTCGTGCTCTCTTGGCTGTGCTGATCATTATTCCTGGCATACTACTTCAGAGTTTGCAGCAACTACCAAGTGTAAAGCATGCAAGTGGTAGACTATGAGAGAGCAGTGCTATACATTACTAAAACCAATGGCAGGCATCCTTGCTGGAGTATGTTATTTCTACACAACTGCTGCAAGAATTTTACCTCATAGCTGTGGCTCTTACAGGGAACTAAAGTAGTGTGGCATTGAACTGTGTCTGAAGTTTTAACAGACATGAGACACAAGATTACTGTAGACTGCCTTCATATCTCTCTGTGCAACAGAAGACTGAAAGCAGCTCGATGAGGGGATGAGATGATGAGAAAGTAAAAAAAACCTGTAAATGTGTTGCCACAAAAACACCTCAACAGACTAATGCAGAAACATGAAACTATCACTGACCAAAAAGAACAGTTTGGAATGATGTCACAGTAATGTATGAAAAATGTGAATGGCCAGTACATACAAAACTTTACTCCTGGAAGTCATATTCACTAGTTCCTGGCAGTATTCACTAGTACCTGTTCAGGATGCTTAATTGTAAACCCCTCTATTTTGTTTGTTTGAATTTATTTGTTTCCATAGCATCTCCTGTAACAGGTATTTTCCCTGTTTAAACAAACTTCACAAGACCTTGTACACTTCTTGTCTCTACAATAACACTGTCCCCAGAAATTCAGGTTTTATAGAATCCTAGTATCTCAGAATCATATGGTTTGGGTTGAAAGGAACCTTAAAGCTCATCCAGTTCCAACCTCTTGCCATGGCCAGGGACACCCTCCACTAGAGCAGGTTGCTCCAAATCCCATTCAAGCCAGGCCTTGAACACTGCCAGGGATGTGGCAGCCACAGCTTCTCTGGGCAACCTGTGCCAGAGTAAGACCACCCTTACAGGGAAGATATTCTTCCTAATGTCTAATCAAAATGTCCCATCTTTAAGCTGAAAGCCTGGCCCCCTTGTGTTATCACTACATACCCCTGTAAGAACTCCTTCTCCACAACAGAAAACCCTGTTTCTGCCAGAAAACCAGTATAAACCTATCACAAGCACTGGAGAGTATTCACACTTTCGGCTCTTAGTGTTTTACTGCCTGTAGTGATAGAGCAGTATATCCACATGCATTAGTGTATCATGTTATATTATTTACTAAATCACTGATGTTCATTACATTAGGGCAGAAAGCAAGGTTGTGCACATGGTTATTAGGTTATGATTTTTTATCCTTATATACCTGTATCTAGAAGAATAAAAAAAAAATCCATATTTGTATGTATATATATATGTGTGTGTGCATACGCACACAACAGGATTTATTTTCACAGGAATACAGACACAAACCCCCCAAAGGACAGAATCTATAGAAGAATTACATGAAAAAAGAAGCAAAATATGGAAAAAATGCAAGAAACCCTTCACCTAACATTCTTATTTTCTCCATTGCTGTATTTCATTTTATTGCCATGTTTCCCACTGTTAGAAGAAACTTAGAGGCATGACTTGCTGTTATGGTGCACAAACCCTGCCTCAGCTCCACACCATTAAGAATAAAACTGAAGCCCTAGCCTCAAAATAAATGCTGAAAAGTAAATCAGAATTATTTTAGTAAAACAAAATAGGGGAAAGAAAATTAAAGTCCTAATGTTAAAATCTATTCAAGTAGAAAATAGTATGTATCAACTTCTGAAAGTAAAAGCTTTAATTTTTTAATACTGAAACCTGTGCTAAAATATCTCGACTCCATCAGTATTTTATTAAGTGTAATTTGAATTAGAGATGTGCACATCTATGGGATATGACATTGTTGCAATCACAGAAACAGGGTAGGATGGTCCTGTGACTGGAGTGTTGGAATAGAAGGTTACAGACCCTTTAGGAAAGACAGGCCAGACAGAATGGGAAGGAGTGCAGCTATTTATGTCAATGATAGGCTGGGAAGTGTGGAACTCTGCCTGAGATGGGTGATGAGTCAACAGAGAGCTTGTGGGTCAGGGTCAAAGGGAGAACTGCGATGGGGGACATTACTGTAGGGGTCTGTTACAGGCTGCCTGATCAGGAGGACTGTGTGGGTGTAGCCCTCTATAGACAGATATGCTCACAGGCCCTTGTCCTCATGGGGGAAGAATATAGGGACACTGTTCGGGAAGCTAGGGACCAGGTCCTGGCTTTATAAACATACAACTCCAGAGATCTCATATTCATTTCAATTTAAGAAAATGTACAGAAAACATTTTTTATATGGTTGCTTGCAATATCAGCATGTTTTCTTCATTATTAAAGTCCACCTGAAGGCAATGAATATTATGCCCACAAGTCAGCCTGCTCTGGAGTCCACACTTCTAAAAGGCATCATACTGGAAAAAGCAGCAAGAAGTTCTCAGTAATAAAGTGCACTGCTCAAACATGTGGAAACCGCTTTAATACAGTTGCTTATGTATGTAAGCAAATATTGCATGTTGCATTATAACCTCATGTGGAGTTAAGAGTTTATTAAGCATCACAAGTTCCGCAACAGGGCTTAAGAGTAGTACTATTTCAGTGATTTCCTAGAATACTGCTCATGTACATTATCACCCACAGAAGTTGCCAGACATTCAGCTAATTTATGCAGCTAAGAAAATGAAGACCAATTATTTGATTATAAATTAAAAGAAATAGTATTCTGAATAGAATTCTGGAAATCAGTCACAGTGAGGATTACATGAGACTTCTGCCAGTCTACAGCTGTAAGGGTGGTGAGGCACTGGAATGAGTTGCCCAGGGAAGTTGTGAATGCTCCATCTCTGGCAGTGTTCAAGGCCAGGTTGGACAGAGCCTTGGGTGACATGGTTCAGTGTAAGGTGTTCCTGCCCATGGCAGGGGGGCTGGAACTTGATGATCTTAAGGTCCTTTCCAACCCTAATTATTCTATGATTCTATGAAAACACTATCATACTTGAAGGCCTAATATTTGCTCATGCTTACATTGCAAACTTTATGGAGTAATTATTCCATACTTAGGGGTTCTTCAAAAGATCAGTAATTGTGCTTGGATGACAAAACAGATGATATTCTGAAAAAAAAGATGATTGCCTTCTTAGTTCTTAGCCAGAAAAAAAACAGTTACAGACTATCTGGAGATACTCCCTCCTTGCACTGTATTTTGAATAGCCTGGGTAAGATTTATCCTTGTCTAAATCCACTTCAGTAAGCTATTCCAATTCCATGCTTCAAAAAGGCTGGCAAATTTCAAGAAGTGCAGGTTTCTTTATAATTAGGCTGTAAAAAATCCTGGACATGCTTCCCCTCTTCCCCTATCCCCCTACCCCCCCCCCCCCCCCCAATTTTACTCTGTCTGCAATTGTTTTCTAGACTGCTTTACAGGCACCATGGTATGTGAATGGCAATTTTTCCCCCACTCTTCTCTCCCAGAAGTCATGAGCTTTGCTGAACAATCATTCCATTTTAGACTCAATAGCTATTCCATATCAAAGCACAGAAATAACTTCACATGTGAGATCACAGTCATGGAAAAGTTCAGTATTTTTGTGATTAACACAGCCTGGATTAATTTCTATCCTTGCAAAAGACTTTCAAAAGCTATGACACCTTTCTGCTGTAAGAAGGCATCATGTTTACTAAGAAGCATAACTCACCTACGTCTGCAGTGACCATGGTGGACTGATTCTCTGGTACTGAAACTGAATTCTGGTCCATGCTGCATGAATCTTCGTTAACCTCATGCTGGCTTTGGCTGAGCTCTGACTGCAACTCTGAATACTCATCTTCCTCCCTGTGAGAGAGAGCAAAGGCAGAAATAAATCCTTTGAAGAAATACCATGACCCTTACTTCATACCTGTAATATGAAATATTGTATGCTGAGCAGCAGGATACAATCCACACAAGTCTAAGCCAGGAGAGAAGGTTTTATACCCTTTACTGCAAAGCAACTGTGCTATGCCCATAACAATCACTTGCAGCAGCCAGCACCTCGCTTCCATTTCTTCATTCCCAAGTTCATTATTATTCCAGACCACTGGACAAGGAAACAATGGGTTGGAACTGAGTGCAAGCAAGGATGTGTGCAAGGATATACAGTGCTCCGCAATAAGTCCTGAAATGGCAATTCTTAATCAGCGTAAGTGGCTTTTGATCCCAAAGTGGATTAGCAATTACTGATTTTGGTCTCTTTTCTCAGTTCAAACATGCCATCAGCTGTGAGCAAAGCAAGTGTACACATGCACAAACCTGCATATGTGTATCATAATGCTTCTGGGACACAAACACTTTTCCTTTTCTCAAAAGGAAGAGAATGTGTGAGTATAATGCTGAACTGCTGGAGTAAGTGGAAAATAAAAAGCCTCAGTTACCTAGGTTTTAACTCATTTGTCAAGCTGGTTCTACTAAAATAATTGAGGACACAGGATACTTTAGCTAAAGCTAATAAGATTAAAAATTTAGGGCTTTTTCCTCTTGGCTCCACACAAAGAGTTCAAAGAGCTAGGAAAGAAGATAAGTAAATGACTAATAGCTTTGCCCGAAAACACTTGTAAAAATTTTTTCTTTTGAGCTATTTGCTGATTCAACTCAAGGTTTTTTTAATTATTTTTATTGTTTTTAACTTTTACAGCTACTGTTTTAACATTCAAGTGCTCATTTTAAACGTAAGAACAACATCAGGTTATTCTAGTTCAAAGCCCCTCTCGTTAAGTAAACAAACAGCCTCCATTTTGTTAAAATTAAACAAATGCAGAAATTTGTTTTGCTGCAGATTCAACAGAAAAGTGTGAGAATGAAACTCTCTGGATCTGGGACAATGAGAAACAGCAAAGAGCTATCTGGGGATCCGCATCTGGGAGGGGCACCTGTAATGTTAAGCCTGCTGTGTGTATGCTACATGGTGATGAGTGTTTCTTACAGAAGGATTGCAGGATTCACCCTGGAGAGGTGTCTAGGTTTGCCAGCCAATACAGCAGAGGATATGGCCCATACATACAGAAAACAATGACAGAAGTCTGATCTCAAAGTAGCAGAGGTGACAATTTGTGAGACAGGTCAACTCAAAAAAGGAGTTTCAGCTTGCTTGCCAAGAAGGGTCATTTCTACAGGAACTGTTATGCTCTTCTACCCCTTACATTCACTTCAGTACAAAGGACGTCTAACTTTATCACAAACACTTAGTGACTATTATTAAACAAAAATGCCGGTCAGCTGGTTAAAATAGAGATTTTGACAAAAAATAAGTCTTTATGGTATCATGCAGTACATGTTTAAGAGAGTGTGAGAACTAAATCATAAATAGCAAGAATTAAAACAGTGTAATGAAGACAGATAATTGCGGGTTATGTTACATGAACTCGTTTATTATTAGCCACAGCACAAGACAGGAGTAATTAGCTTTAGACAAAAACAATTCCCAAGCACTCTAACAGTTGCACTTTTTTTAAACTGAAGGTAAAGAATCTTTTTATGAAATAACTAGTTCTACATTTTTAAAACCTAAATTACCTCTACAAATGTGCAATGGGCTATACTGATCACAAAACAATGTTGCACACAATAATAATGTCTTACCACTCTTCTTCTGGCTACTATTGCATAGATTTTCTGTTTTAAGTCCAACACAGGTTCGTCTAGCTAGCACTAGCACTGTTTTTTCAGTTTAAGCATCCTCGGTATCTTGGGACAGTTGAAAAGTACGTCACGCAGCAGGACTCGCACCTTTCCCAGTGGCTCAAGCCAGAATCAGTCTCTGAATGAGCTAATGCTTCTAAGACCTGACCAGAAAGATCAGAAATCCATTTCTAGTAAAGCAACAGCAAGGTCAATCAGTCTTTCTGTCACCAGTCTCATGGGGGAGAAGCCTAAAAAGACATTGGAGAATCTGAGGGGACCAGTGAATCTCAAATACAAATTTTGCCTTTAAAACTGAAGTTGTCAGTAACAAAAGACACTGTTGGTGACTCCCCTTTTCGCAGAACAGGAGGAGTCCTTCAGCGGCACTGGAAATACAAGGCACTGAACAGCTGATGATGACAAACCACTGAACTCCTACCACAGCACCCAGATGGTGGATGTATTACAACCTCCTGGTTGCTGTCATCATTTAGGACTTGGCTGAAGAAAGGAGATATATTTGCTCTCGTATGTGCCTTCATGGTTCCCAGTTGTTGGAATGTCATTGTGAGTTAGAGGCAACTGAGATCAGGTCAAGCTGTTCTCAACACAGGGCAGCATGGGAACAATGTTGGAGCAAAAGGGTGTATTTTATGGGAACATCTGCGCTTACCTGCTTTCCTCATGTCCGGGTGCAACCAATGATCACAACTGCTGTACAGGTACTGAGTAAAACTTGAGTGAGTATTCAGCAAAATGGTACACTTTCAGCATCCTTTCCCACCACTGGCAAGTTCTGCCAGGACAATGGCAAGGTGTGCATTCTCTTCAAAGTGCAAAGAATGCATAGCTTCACATTTTAGGTGCCAGCAACAATTCAACAATCATTTTACTTGAACAAGTATTTTTAAAGCCTTCTAAGACCCTCAGATTGAGAATACTACAGGTGTATGTACACTGCAACCCAGAGATTGACTGCTTCCTTTGCATATACTCTTGAGGTCCCTCTGAACTAGTTCACTTGTGACCAAACAGTGACACACTTGAGATAACATGAGAATTAATCAGCAGTGGCAGGTAGGGCTGGGCATTGTACGTACTATTCACACCCACAGTGCTATTTGAATTGGATTCACTTAACTTCCATATAGCACATATTTAGAAGCTAGAATCAGACTTCCAGGTCATTGTGTAGATATGACTGTAAGTGCCATTTGTTATTTACTCTCCTTCTTCCTCATTAACTCCAACACAACCTACTTTCTGAATATATTTCAGATTAAAACCTCTTAAGTCTGAACAAATGGGTTTACAGCAACGGCCTACAAGCTTCTTGACAACTGTTTCAAATAACCCTTAGCACACACCAGTATTCAACAGAGTGTATTTCTGTTTGGTATTGTCAAAGTTACTATTTTTAGAGTTGCACAGATGGATGCAAACAGCCAGTGGTTTAGAACTAAAAGCAATTTGGTCTCTCCTTTTCCTGAATCTCAGTTTGACATGTAAGAAAGACTGTCAATCACAGGCCAGTCTTTTTGCCAGCCAAAGACAAGGCAAAAAAAAAAAAAAAAAAAAAAAAAAAAAAAAAAAAAAAAGATTTCAGCTTGAATGACTCTAAGACAATACTAAAACCTTCTGCAGTCAGGAATATTCACCATATTCACCTTTAATGCATATCTAATTCCTTTTTAGTACTTCAGTACTACTGTGTAATTTGTAAATCCTTTCTGTGCTTCACAGTTATCTGGTGTATTGGTTATATCCAATATATTTACAATATTACTCTAATTGGGAAGATCCATTCGATTGGCTCTGCCGTCTTCCAAGTTGTACACACTTGGGAGAGAAAACTGGAGCAGGCATACACCTTGTCAAAGGACAGAGAACCTTTGCAATGTAGAAAAAAAAAGTTGTCTTCTAAATTGAAACAGCGAAAGTAGGGGTAACACTGCCCCCAGCTTCCATTTGACAGGCTAACATGAACGCAAAGCTAGCACCACTCAGTGAAAGCTGTTCACTCTAAAAGCAGGCAAAATGTGCTCTACACAATCCTCATAGCCCCATCTGCCCAGGAGTATTGCAGATTTTGATGAAAGCTTGTGAATTCAGTCTTACAATGAACCTACAATACTAGCTACCTCCTCCCACTTTCTCCCTAGTAATTTAGACAAGAACACTGAGACAGTCACACAATTGTAATTTTCCAAGAAAAAATAGAGCAAAGGTTTATGTCTCTAGACTGCTCAAATGAAAAAAAGCATCCTCATCCTAGTAGAGTATTTCTTCAGTGTCTTTTTGCTCCCAAACTGCTACCATATTGAGATGGTAATGGGTAAATTCTGCACTGTCACATGTGAAGAACTAGGCAAGCAAGAGACTCATCTACTTGAACAGCGTGAGTATAGGGAGTATTAAGCCAGACACAGCTGTATTTCAGCTTTCTATTTTTGTGAGGTTGTGCTTTCAAAACCAGCTGGGCTGTCCAGAGCAGCAGCAGGGAGATGAGACAACTGGAGATGAATGTTGGCTTCCTCCCGCAGCCATGGTGACCTCATTTTCCTTAGGGAATGCTGGAACAACACAGTGTGAGAGCAGCAGCTAACTTCATATGGGCACACACATGGAACTTGTTGTAACCAAGAAATAGCTATCAAAAGCTAGAAAAATCCTGGAAACTTTTAAAAAACCTCCTGTAAGATTACTAAGGTCAGCATATCACATATAACCTGGGAAGAGGCACAGGCACCGACATGTGACTTAAGCTCTTTTTAGAGCTGGTATTACTGAACCACATGAGCAAAAGCCCTGACAGTGTAAGGACAGAAAAAAAAAATACCCAAACAAAACAAAACCATGAAAAACAAAGAGAGAAAAATCCTTGGAATTAAGAATATCAACAAGCTTATACAGCTTGCAAGAATCCTCAAATTGTTGCAATACCTTATTCAGACTTACACACTCTTTTTGGTTACTTTCTGCCCCACTTTCTCAGGGTACTACTCACATTCAAAGAGCTACAATTTTAAAGATAATACAGTTTAAAGAGGGTAGTCAAATATCCTCCATGAATCTCTGGTTTCTTCTAATTGTTTCCAGAATATTTTGGGGTTTTGGAAGGAACCATGAAGAATGTCACAAAGCAGCAGAACATCAAGCTACGTGTTAGTTGGGTTTTTTTACAGCCTAAAAGCAGTACACGACAATCTCCCTGTCAGCACTAGGGAAACATTTATCTACTACACAATTAATGTAAACTCAAGAAAACTGTTTCCAGAAAGCCTAAACTTTGTGACAACACAAGTAAAACCTCCATACAGCATTACTTGCAGGTAGCCAACAATTAAATCAGGACTAAAATCCCTCCTGTGTTCTGGGTCATAGGAAAATATAAACTCTGAGGCCATAGCAAGGATGTGCTCCCAAACCCCTTTTACCCAGGACTGTCTTGGTCCAGCTCTTGGGCTCACAGTCCGCATGGCTTCACCACAGCTGAGGGTGGAGGCATTGTGAGTCACACCTGTTCCAGGAGGGAGAGTAGTTACATCACCCTTGCTCCCTTGGGATGCAGCAGCTTCTCAGGGGTGATGCAAGTAGACCCCAGAGTGGATTTACAGACAGACACAAGCAGAAAGTATCAGTTCTCCTTCTTTCAGTTGACTTTACAAACCCTGTGGAATCCCTCTAGTTCTACCTCTGATTGCCATTTTTCAGCAGCAATATTACTTCTCTGTTCCCCAGACACCAAATTATTGGCCTGCAAACTATTCCGATCATTAAAGGAAATAAGAAAATCCACTAACTTAACAAATACCTTGTTCTTACTAATAAAACCAGAACAAATAAAAACAGAGTTCCTCCGAGCAAAATGAGTTCTCATATGATAGGAACAAAGAGATGGGGTATGCCAGTGGTGTGGGAACTGCTCCAGCGGTATTGTTCTGATGCCTTCAAAAGCCTGCAACCCCCAAAGGGGCAGCCAAACCGCACTTCTCATGAGAAGCAGTATACACTTCCTACCAAGCTCAGTTCTTATGACTCACGTTCCTGTGCATGCCATTGCCATCATATTTAAGACATCATTAAACGTTCATATTATGCACCCAATTCCAGTATTTTGTAATTGAACCACTTGGCATTTAGCTTGCCACAGGATCTTGAAACAAACCATTTTTATAGATTCTATGTAGTATTTTTCTTAAATGTCACGGAGTTATTTTGCCTTTCAGGAAAAAAAAAATACGAAAATCCATGCAGCTTCTATGATTTTGCCTTTTAACTAGACTTTTCAGCTGGTGGAGCTTTACCAGAGAGGAGGGCAGGATGGCCAACCAGTATCATGCAAAAGAAAGGTGACCATGAGGCTTTGCAAAGTATGATTTTGCCAGACAGTATGTACTCTCAGGGTGATACTCTGGAGAACACATACCATAATTATGGGCAGATACTCAGTACCAGTCATAACAAGCCTAACTACCTAAAAGTCGTCATCAAATTGTATTTGGAGTAGAATTCACACCATGTTTTCCACCATTCTTGCATTGGCCTACAATTTCCAGGAAGTTGCTGTACCTTATCGTTGTTCCCTGTAGTCGATCAATTTTCTTATTTAATTCAGCAATGATGCTGTGCAGCTCTGTGATCCTTTCCTCGTAGCGTAGTGTCGTTTGCTCCTGTAAGTCTTCGTGCTCTCTCATTAGATGGGATTGTCCACACTAAAGCAGAGAAACAGGGAACAGAAAAGGTTTCACGAGTAATTGCACAGAGGTCAATACAAGGCAAAAGTGCCCACCATTAATGGTTTTCTTACTCATCAAACCGACACTGCCTTTGAAAGAAAAAAGGATGGATATAGAATCAAGAGGTACACACAGGGCATTACAAGATTACAGTTGCACTGAAAGACTGTACTCTTTTTGTCCCCTCCTCCCCCTCTAAAGGGCAGAAGTTGCCCTTCCAGCTTGAACTAAAACCACCATTTGCAACTGAAAATAGCTACAAATATCTCACCTTTTGATGTATGAGATTCATGATGTATCATGAATCTTCAAGGATCTTCCCTATGTGGTCTGAATTAGGACAAGTCCTAAGGCAGAAACCACATTATTATAAAGAAAACTAACCACACTTCGAGGTTATGCTTTAGTGTACTTGGTTTTATTAGCCTGTAAAGATACGATAGCATATTTTAAATTAATTTAATCCATTCTAATAAAATGCTTATTATTTGAACAATTAAAGGGCTACATGGCTGCTTGGTTTCTATGTGTAAGACAAAATCCTTGTTTAAATTCCCCATAGAATTTTAAATCCAGTCCCTCTGGTTTGCTCTTCACATCAGCAAACACTCCACTTCAATCAGAACACACAATTACAGCCTACTCCAGTTACAATACAACAGTGCACGCTGATTAAGTTATGGTTGATAGTGGCTGGGAAGAGCAAGACTTCAAGACTTCTAACTTTTTGCTTCTGACCACCTGCAGGAAACAATCAAGCCTACTTGCAATGGCAGAATGGTATGCAATAAGAAAGAAAATCACACACTGACTGACAGTATAAAAACTATACTCATTAATTGAAGACCTGCAATATAAGATCCAGGTGACATTTCTAAAGGCTGTAATTTATAGTAATGTGGAAAGTCGTCCAACATTGCTGCACCAAAAATTTTGCAAATCAAGTATACACTCTATATAGAGATAACTCCCTCAACCCTTTGTATCATAAATATGAAAATTATACCCAAGCTAGCAGCTATTTTCAATTTGCCCTCCTATTTTTTGACCACTCACATTCATAGCTTGAGGACATCACCTACCTAAAAGGCTGCTTGAAAACTAGAATCTATGTTAAGCTTTATGTTCTATTTAAATTTGATTTTTTTTTTTCAGTATTTTTAAGTTCCAGGAATATACACATTGAAAGGTAGCCCAGACATAAGAGCTCCAATCCACAGACTGCAGCAAAACTGTTTCTTAATACAGCTGTAGTCAAAAGCACTTTTACCTATGCCAAGACAAACAGACCGTATCCTTACACTGGAGAGGACTGATAAATGTTCAGCTGGCTTTTAAGACTTCATGTTTGCAATGGTACAGTATAGTGACTCTTTACTGTAGAATCATTCGACAGCTTATTTCTCACATTTTCGTATCTTAACATCGTATCTGGTTGAAGTACCACCATGGCTTTCAGAGTACAGAAACTGTGTAGAGAAAATGTTGAACAAAAGCTTTAAAACAGATTTCAAGCGCAATAAAGAGTTGCTGCTTCTGTCTTTCTAAACCTACATTTCCTCTGACACACACTGATACCCACAAATGCTACCAAAGCGTTATTCAGATCAACCAATAATGTGCTTTATTTTTTTTTCTTTTAAACCAAAAGAATGTTTCAGATGGAGTGTATAATAATTCTTTCCAGACAATAAATAAAAACCCTATTACAATATTATTCGTCTTTCTAAGCTATTCACTGAAAAGCACAATTTATTTATCTATCTTGACTGAAGATGTATGGACCTCAGCCATATTACCAGACTTGCTTTCTGTTTTCTCCAGCCATTTCTCTCTTGGAACAATGATATGCCCTAGTTCCTATTTCTTTCCAAATTGTACATATTCAACAAACAGAGGTATAAGCCACTGAGAGGCTGTGAAAGATGAGCAATTGTTGAGGTCAGGAGAAATGTTGCCAGCAGAGTTCTAAGTGTAAGTAAGTGACATTTCACTCGTCTTTTGTACAGACTAAAAAAGGTTAATTCAATTATGGTATAAATTAACAATACCTGGGAACACCTTTCTCTGACATTCCGATACTGGGAAACAATCAGAAGACCAAGAAGAATATGAAGGAGAAGGATGTTAAGAAAAAATATCTTAACCAAAGGCTATTATCTCAACACATGATTCTACTGCCTAGTAATGTACACAAACTCCTAAGGAAAAAAACACTACCAAGTGCAAACCTTTATGTTAAATTTGCAGTGTTTAGTCAGAAGACAAGAAAGAGCTCAGTTAGAGACCCATCCCCCAGTGCCTCAGGCCCTGCAGAGTCAAACACTGGCTATAGTATTGTTCACCAAGAACATAAGTCATCATCTGAATGAGCCACCATAATAAACCTAACAGGCTCACAGAAGCAGAAAATCCTCAAGCAACTGATACAGTAATTTAAAAAGGAATGTCAGACTTTAAAGTGGCAATCCACCCATATAATTTTAAGTATAAACACAAGTCCATTGTGCCAAATCCTTAATCATGCAAAGGTATATGGTCAGAATTAATTATTTGGTGATACTCTATGTATACTTGATGTGGAAGAAGACTACAACTAGACAGGGCTGATCCATTTGAGATAAGGACATCACACAACAGGACAAGCAATTTCAATGTTCATCTGAACACCATGCATTTCTATTTCAAGTTACTTCAAAATATTTTTTTACAAGAGGATGTAAAAAAATATTACAGCAGTAATGGGACTTGTTTCTGTGTCATAAAGAACCCAGAATGATGTAGCACAGTCTTTGTTACCCTGTGCGCAGACCTATTATAAAATTCCAGAATTACAGGGACTAAGCACAAAGGTTGAGAAAGCAGGACTACCTTGTGAAAAGAAACTAAATGGTAGGAATGATATATGTAAGTGAATTGTCTTTCCTTGCTGTATTTCCTGAAACATCAGCATTTTATTAAATCCTATGTTCTATTGTAAAATTGCAGAACTCAGTGTCACAGGATGTTGGAAATTCCAAGAATGTAGATGGATTAGAAAGATTAGATAACTCCATGGAGGACAGGGCCATAGAGGACTATGAAAAGTGATGTAGCCTCCTGTTCACAGATGTTGGCCGAAAGGTGGGAGAGCATGAAGGAGGACAGCTCTCTGTATGTATTTCTGATTATCTCCCTTCAGACATGCAGTACTTATCATATCAAAGTGAGGATACCATGCCAGCCAGAGCTAGCAGAAAGCACTACATTTCTTCTCATAACCGCAGAAAGATTTTTGGAAGAAGATATTTGTTGTGGTGGACCAGTACAGCAAATTTAATTGAAATTTTAAGCACAGTGTATGCAACTGTCTAACTTTATCATCTGTCATCTAAAATACTTCAATTGCGTTTCCTCAAATCACCTCCACCTCTCAGATCACTAATCCTTTCTTCCAAAGCATCTCACAAGCTTCATGAAATGATGGGAAAAGTATTACCAAAATGTGTTTTAAGAGCTGTTTGTTCCAAAGAGCATGTACCACACCTGTTAAAATGAAACACGCACTGCCTTTGTTAGTATAGTCCAGTAGCATCTGAATACGGTTATGCAGAACTTCTACTACCTTGTATTTAATTTATGCCTTCTGAAACTCTGATTCACATTAGTAAGGAAGAAATGCACTAGACAGAGGTTGTAGAGGAAAAAAATGTTTGATATTATACATGATACAAATTTATGAATTTGGATGACTCTCTGTGGAATGGGAGGAAAAGTTCATAAAAATTATGTTAAGTGAAGCATCTACTTTGGAAGATAGCCAACATACTCAACTTGTGAGCTGTCCTTGTTTCTTGGCTTATTCTTTAGGAAAGACTGCATTTTATTTAATATACACACCCCAAAAAAATCTATCCACTTAGGGGCTTAAAAAAAAAAAAAGAAAAATTAAAGATTGAAAATAGCTGAACCACAAAAACTTTATATAAATTGTTCATAAAAAAGTATTTTTTTAATCTGACTGATTTTCTGATTTTGTGTTATTCGCAGTTCAGGTAGCAGTTGTCACTACACTTGTGTTCACAAGCACACAGACCAAGATCACATAAAAATCTTCATCATTACAAACTGAGAACATGCATAATTTGTAAGCCATCAAAGAAAGCACCAAACAATTTTGTGCTAACAGAGCACATGTCAGTTGGTATTAAGGACTGATCCTTAATCCTGGTCACCATCAATGGAGATTCCTTACTGTATGGGAGAACCTATGAGGCACTCTTCACTGGCTAAGAGACAATATCAGTATTTTTAAACAAAAGATCTGGAAGTAAACCTAAAACATGAACAAAAACCTGTGGTTAGCACAAGACCCTGCAGAGTTATACGTAACAACAAAGTCGGTGTGGTCATGCAGAATGATGTGGAGTGTTCGGATACAATAGATGCATCTGACTGTTTAATGACTATCAAACGCAACCTCATATCAAACTGTATGTCAAAGACCTGCAGCAGAAATTAGAAAAGGCTCTCAGGATTACAATAAATAATGTTACCTCCCAGCATGGCTCTGACTCACACATCAAGGAGAACGAACATATGAAAGTGTTTTTTATTTCTTGATGTTGCATTGTTGGTTTGCAATAACAGTATCACTTACAAGCCCCAAAACCTTAAAGGTAGCTGAAAAAACATCAAGGAATGCGGACAAGGGCCAAAATACGGTTGGATGACTGAAGTAAGAGCTGCCAAAGGCTGCCTAAACATTTCTATATTTGGCTTGAGCTTAAGTAACACACACACACAGGCTCCTACCGAACTGCACTAAAAATTAAGATCCTAAATTCACAAGACTGCAGAATGGCTAAGGTTGACAGGGACCTTTGGAGGTCATCCAGCCAACCCCATGCAGAACTCAAGGATGGTCACCTAGAGCAGGTTGACCAAACCAGGTCCAGGTGGCCTGAGTACTTCAAAAGCTGGGGATTTCACCACCTCTCTAGGCAACAAGATGTTATACTTTCACAGGACAAAGTGCTTTGTGCCCATGCAAGTATAAATAAGTATACATTTCGAATTAGTTTTGAAATCTGAAGTACTGACAAAAGGTATTTCGCAGAATGACAGTATCAAAACCCAAAGATTTCACTACCTCTCTACATTTACCTTGATAGGGAAAGATTAACTTTTTTAATGAGCTGTGAAAGCACCTTCAGACCTTATTCTGACTTAATCCCTTGGCTTCCCACTGACTGTATTTCCTACAACAGGTACCCACAAAACTGGCTTACTAGAAGCCAGACTGAGATGACAAACAATTCCTCCGTGAAAGCACTGCCAATTGGCAATAACTCTTTAGCAGTATTTGTGCTGTGTTTGAATCTGACCCCGAACTGGAAGAGCCTGCCTTCCCAATCCACTCAGATCATGCTGCAATTTTTATATTCTAATATAGCTCAAAGCAGTTGCTGTTTATATTGACTTCAAAACAAAACTAATGTAATTATTTCTTGGTATTTTTTTAGAAGAATATCATCAGCACATAAAACTCAAAACCCACTGCAACTATGCTTCTTGCAGTCTTCAAATTCTTTTCACTTGTGACATTGGCAAATATTATATCCTCTCCCCACGTATCACATTCCTCTCTGAAGAGCAAGACAATACAAAACCAAGGACCACCTTCAGAACTGAAGTACGGCTCACCTGTGCTTTTGCCAATTTCTTTTCCAACAGGTCACGCTCCCTTTCTGTTTGTTGTAGACGCTTATTAAGCTCCACTATGTCTCCCTTTAATGAAGCCAGGGATGCTAAATGAAGCTAGAAGACAAAAGGAATGAAACAAATTAACTAATTCAGAAGTCATTTGAAGATAAGAGGACTATGCAGCAGCTAAAATATCTGGAATTCTGTAGTAGTTAAAAGGAACTTATTACAACAAGAGTCTAAAAGAAGTTCTCTTGTGCTACTTTTTGCAAAGAATTATCCTCTCCAGAGAGCACAGATGTCCCTTCATCAGAGAACATATTACAAGGATAAATACAATGAAGTATAATTCAGCTGCAAATATGCATTAGTTTAACAGGAGGTGGCTTGAGTTTTGTGTTATAAAATCTTACACTAAATTTGTATTATATAAGGTGCATCATGATTTGATGCCTTCAGACATACAGGGATTATCAGTTTGGTGAAGGGAATAACTCAATACACAGAACTCGATTTTATTTTGCAGTTAAAGCTTACTCCACTTTGAGCTACTGCTCTGCAGCTGTTTCCTTGGTTCTATGTCAGTGAGTGTCAGTGATTCTAATCTACTAAAGCCACACATGAAGAACCTCAACTGTTTTTCTTTCTGCAGTAGATGCTTTTGACGAAAGATACATTCCATATTTAACTGATAGCATGTGGGAATATATAGCAGATTAGGATAACTAACATAATCTAAATTACATCAGCTACACTAACTTAGAAATCAAGAACAATTCTTAAAAGAATCCGGTACTTGTAACTTATTCACACTCTCTTCCTGTCCTTAAATATCCCATTCATCATTACACTGAAGGCATCAGCTAGAATTCAGCACTCAGTATTGACAACTACAGCCAAAGAATCCAGAAGGAAAACTAGCAACTGATAACTTTCTTTGTAGTAGTAAAAAATCAACTGCAGAATTAACGAGGCAGACTTCCTATGGATTTCTCTGTCCTATTCCCACACTGCAGTCAGCTCTTCTTCACATCCCCTAGCACACCCCAAACTGAGTAATAAGCAGCATTAGTTGTGTCTAGTTTTATAGTAACACTGCTGCCTGGCCTGGCAGCTCCTGCCAAACAAGGGTATCCAATGAGTGAATTACATCTGCCACCCTGTTCAATACAGGGTCTCTTTTATGCAAATAACCAAAAGATGTCTTTATTAATTACAAGGAAAGTTTGTTGCATCTTTTATGGTCCAGAATTATCCTTTCCTTTCATTACATGGGCTAGTCCAGTTTCCAGGTATTAGTAAAACAATTAAAAACCCCGAACAAACAGCTTACTGAAAGGGAAGATTAGACAACAGGAAGTACAGGAAGCTGTAACACACAGAGGAGGGCTGTCTAGCATACTCTTTGGTTTCATGTATGCATCCAGTGCACTCAGCAGTATGGCATACACAAGCGGTGCTGTGTTAGTGACAACAGATAATGGTCCATGGTGAAACATAAAAATAGAAGAGTACAGTCTGGCACGGGTTGTGGGAACGTAACCTTGAAAATAGGGGAGTTAACACCGCTGTTAACAAAAGGGAGTCTTATACCAGTAAACATCTGTTCATATGCTGGCCACACGTGTGCTGATGTTGCAACTTGTAATTTTACACTCCAACCCGAGGGGGGGTATAAAGACCTATGCAGGGACAGAAGGGTGAGAAGGCCAGATGCGCATCTTGATTCAGGAGACACCCTGATGATGCACTGCCTACCACCCCTCCGACCGAGCAACACGTTCCATCTCCCTCTCGTGCTCGGCAGTATCCCATGCAACCAGGGGTTGGTATGCATGCAACCTGCTTTGCATTAATATATGTATTTGCTTTGCACTAGTAACTCAATAAACAGACTAGAGCATTTGATTGTTTACATTGTGTTTGGTGTCCAGTCTTTGCACAGGAGAATCCTACAAACCTGGAACATAATTGGCAATGAGGATGGGATTCCCGTAGTATAAAGGAGACAGAGAACAGGGTTTGGTCAGCAGGGAGCATAGCTGCACCAAGAGGGGCTGTTCTGTGCATGAGAAAGCAGGGCTTGGTCTGTGTGTGCACTGTCAGGGTCACTTTAAGGTTGTTGTGTAATATACTATCGCTGCATTTTGTAGGAAAGAGCCTCGGGCTGTGGCTCCTCCTGTGGAGCGACCAGGGTGGACACAGGAACCGTGGAGCATGCTGTGTGATACAACAGACACCTTCAGTAATGTAGGACCTGAACCGTGGTGAGCTAAGGATCCCATGGGAGTGTTAAAGTATTGGGGTGAGTTTGTAGAAACCCCCCATACCTGCTAGAAGGAGTGATCGAGTAATGCCAGACATATGACAGGCTGCTTGCTGCTTGCCTACAAAGGCATGGCAGATAAGGACATAGGAATGGGAGCAACAAGTAGCAGATTTACATTCCAAGCCAGAAAGGGTTAGAATAGAAGTGCTGTTGCAGAGGCAGGCATTTGTAACTGCTGCAAAGCAGGGTGAGTGACTTGGGGAAAAATGTGCCACCCTAGCAGAAAAATATGCTGTTCATGTTCTTAAAAAAAGGAGCAATAAAAAATATACAAAGGCAGTGAGGCCATGGGTCCATGCCCTTGTGTCTGATCCTGACTGGGAGCCAGAGACATGGAATGGAGATATCTGGGGTACCAGTGAGTCAGAATCAAATACCAAACACAAGGCAGACATGAAAAAGGAAGGAGCCCATGCAGCTCCTGTGTTTAAATTTAAGCTGATTACCGGGGCAAACGGACAAGTAAAAACAGACAAATTGACAGGCTATAGTCCTGAGGAGACTAGTAATTTATTAGATAAATGCTAGGAGATACCAGAAGAGAAGCCCCAGAACTGGCTGGTTCACCTCATGGAGGAAGGAGCTAATACTGTATTACTAGACGGGGTAGATGCAAAAAAACCCATGGGACTCACCTCTGACCCATGTGTACAATCCATCTTATGTCACATAGGGGACCAATGTATCACCATGATTGCAGTAGTTGGAATGTCAGATCTATATACTAATGATGGTGCCTGGCCACCTGCCGCTTAAGAGTGGACCACTCTGTGGCAAGCCTGAGGACATGAAACTAGCCGTCTTAGTGGGCTCTCCTTGAGCTTTATATGCAACAGCCCTTAATTCCCGGAACATGGAACACACTTTCAGAGAGACGTCCATCAGCATGGAAGGCGCACCTCATACCCATACTACTACAAGAACAAGGAAACCCCACTGAACAGGTGATGGAAAAGCTAAGCCAATTAGGGGATTTTACTGGGGCTGCGCTTGGACAAAGCGGTTCAGGACCAGGGAGAGTAGGAAAGGAAGAGACACAAAAAACTGCAAGCCATCCTGTTCCCGTTACATGGATAATTAAAAAAGAATTGCTGATAGTGCACCTGGGTCTGGAACAGGCCAGGGAGCGTTTGTGTGCATGGGTGCACGGTCAGGCTGGGAAACAGCCTGAGGAGTGATTGTTTACAGAATGGAATTTATAGTGACTGAAGACACTGTGGTTTATGTGGTTTCTGTTTGGCTTCATAGACCAGATCTAAACCCTCTGGTGTTCCAGCGGGCCACCCGTGTGGCTATCTGGGCCTGGAGGCGAGTGCCTGGACTGGGGGGGAGACTAATTCTTTCACGGGTGTTCACCAGGGGTCTCAGGAAACCTATGTGTCTTTTATAGACCAACTGGACAGTGTTATGCAGAGCCAGACTGACGGTCACAGGACTGCTCATGCCTTTTTATTTTGGCTAGCATATGAGGGTCCAGGTGGGGATTGCGGGGCTGTGTTAGCCCCAGGCAGAGGAAAATTTACAGACATTGACAAATTGGTTGGGGCATGTCAGGATGTCAGAGCAGAGGCTTGGAGGGCTTCTGTGTTGGCTGATGCACTAATTATTCTGGTTTTATTGGTCATATTAGGTTGCATTCCAACCTCCCTGTCCCTTTAGCTGTGGGTAATGACATCGCTGACTCCTTGGCTGTCAACACTGCAGTTCACTTCTGCAGGTGCTTCACTTTTTTTTTTTTTTCCCATCAGAATGCCTCTGCTTTAAGGAAACAGGTTAACCTGTCTTCTTCTCAAGCAAAGCAAATTGTCAGGTCTTGCCCTGACTGTCAGTCAACAACTCAGTCCTCATTTGCCATGTGTGTAAATCCTCATGGCTTAAAGGCGAATGTGGTATCATGATGCTTTGGTCCTGCAGAAATGGGAAGGGCCAGTGGAACTGATAACCTGGGGAGTGGGTATGTTTGTGCTCTCCTACGCACAGGTCTGTGATGGCCGCCTGCAAAGTCTGTCAAGCCTTGCCATGAGCAGGACAGACGAGTGGAGGAACCCAGTATCTCAGCTGCAGGAGCTGACCCTGAAGACCCTGAGTAGAATGAGACAGAGAAAAAGGAATGATTTGCAAAGCATCATTTGGGGGCAACTGAAAACTAACAACTTGAATATGTGTGTTTGCAACGTAGCTATTATTAGAAGCTGCAATTTTGGTATAAACCACCTGTATTTACTAGCCAGTTGCTAATAAGAAACTACACCTTGCATTGTATGGAGTTGTCACTTGTAAAACAGATGTTAGCGCATGCAAATTTACAGCAGCTGCTAGAAAATGCTAAGGCCAAAGCTAGAAAGATTCTAATACAATGGCAGTGTTATAAAGCAGGTAATGGAACAAACTAAGAGGGTGGGAGAACCCCACTGGTGGGAAATTTTCTTTGGCTGGTCCCCCACTGCCACCAACATCTTCAACATGCTGCTGCACCCTATAGTAGTTACACTGCTAAAAATCTGTGTGTGCTTTGCCATAGCAGCAACTTGTTACTGGATGAGGCAGGTGAAACTGTACTGACAACGAGGTGCAAGGAACTGAGGTTGGCCAAATGCCTCCTACCATAGTCAAGGGCAAGACTGGGTTGGCCTCTCCGTCTGCCACCAAGAAGAAACTTTACCTCCGCTGTTGGCTGCAACACAGCAGGCGTTGAGTGGTGGGGACACACGCTATGCCAGACCTTGATGTGAGGGATGTCCTCCTCTGTTATAAGAGGGCCATCCAGGAGGGAAGGGCAGGCCAAGCAGCCTGTGGTTGGCACAAGAGATGATCTAGTCCAAATCCCCTGCTCAAGCAGGGTCACCTAAAGCAGGTTTCATCATTAGCATAAGTAACTAATATAAGTAATAATAATAAAATAAATAACTATCGTATTTGAATCTTCTATTCTCAAAGGCTAACATCAAAACACTGCTCTTGCGTGATTTAAGATTCCTTACGCAGAGAAGGGGATAAGGACAGCAAAAGAATGTGTCTTTGGAAGTAACAGCATCTATCTCTAGTGACTCCCGGTATATCTGGCCAACGCATTGGTGAAACCTTGTTTTGGAGCCTGGACATCACCGCTTTGCTTTGCTTTTCCTCCATATCATCTGGAGACTTGTTACCAATAAATATACATATATTTGCTTTGCACAAATACCTCAGTAAATAGGCCAGGGCATTTGTTTACATTGTTTTTGGTGTCCAGTCTTTGTACATGGGAATCCTAAGAACCTGGAACAGGTGCCTCTAGCTAGTACTGCAATACATAATAAGGTGGGCACAGCTACTGTAGCTTTGTATTCTTTGCAGAGTCGTCAAGCAATTCCAATTCCTTTAAAAAATGTGCTACAAAATATTCCTTCATCTTCCCTTAAGGTGTGAGTGTTCCCACAGACCACGCTTCCCAGTGTTTCTGTATTGCACACAGCAGGGTAGGAAGCAGAATAGGATCTCTGGATGTTGCTCTAACACAAGCAACTCAACATTTGAACAAAGAGCTACAGTCAACAAAAAAGTCATTCCAGGCAAAAAAAGCTCACATATGAAGTGAGCTTCTAAAGCTGGACAGATTCCATTTAAAAATCTCAACTGGAAGGCAGTAGGTCAGTCACGACTGTAACCCAGCAGAACTGAATCACTATGGGATATGACAGCTGAAGGAAAGAAGAATGTGTAGCTATGTGGCATACTGCTTTTCCTCTCTTCCGCGAACAGTGATAGACAAGGCAGACTAACACTCATAACAGACATTTATAGCTCAAGGTGGGCTGCCTCTTAATGATACAAGATTGTGAAACAGATCATAACCTCTGTATTTCATAAAAATTAACACAGACACTGCAAAGATTGGTTTGTATAACATATTGGTCAGAACTTTTAAGCGACATCTCCCACGGAGAATTACTTCAGAGAAAACAGTTAACTGAGAAAGCCTGTACTGAACATAAGCTTCATACAGATCCAATACAGCTAGTATTGAATTCCACCACTAAGTACTGTTGATGCACCCAAATTGTCCAATAGGACAGGTAAGGTCAACACAAGTGAGAGCAATTATAGAAAAGGGATCAGACAAAGCAACCAACTTACTTCTCTACCATCATGAAAGGAAATAAGAATTCTTTCATAAAAGAAATCAGATGCATAGTATTAATAAAACTCCATCACCATTCCTAACTTAGAAACTACGATTTCTGTGATACTTTCTGCAAGAACAGGAGTCTGTTTACTGAAATATATATACACATTTTATACCAAATACTTTCCTGCCAGTTTTTAATATACTAAATATACAATAACAATTATTATTAATAACCCCCCCAAGCTGTGCACTGTATGCTATCTTTAAAATGCAAACCACTGTACAGCTAATTTCTGAAAGACACAGTAATATAAAAAGAATTACAAGCATAACTTAGGAAAAGCAACCTCCTGACCTCTCTTCCAGCCTCCTTTATGAATGCAGTCTCTTCTCCAATATACTTGCTTCTACAAACTTCTCATACAATACTGTATATTTTATATCTCATATAATAATGTATTTTTGCACAGTGATTTAAACAATCATTTTGGTGCCAGGTGAAATATTTCGTGTGGGCACAAATAAAAATGTTTTAAAAATGTTGCAATGTTTGCTAGCAGTCAGGTTTCTCAAGAATTTTGTAGTGAAAAGAATACAAAATCGGATGGGATGGTAATGTGAACTGAATGCCAATGAAGCAGGGGCTTACTTGTCTGTAGTACACATTGCTGGAAGTGTTCTGAGGCCATGAACAAAAGAAAGATGCAGAGGGCAATGAAGGAAGTTCCTGAACACCGGGTAAATTAAGGTTAAAGCACTGCAAAGCTGTAAATTACTTTTGTAGTCAGCATTTATTCCCTACCATTGTAAACTGTGACCCTCATCACTAAGTTTTCCACATTTTTCTTTCCATCAGCCTGGAACCAGACTAATTAAACCTTATTGCTAAAACCAGTTGTACTCACTACATATGTTTACTATTTTCAACACAATAATCATAAAAACGATGTAAGAGTATACTTCTCTGTGAAATTAAAGAACTAATCTTTTTCATTATTTCCTGCCTTCCTCAGGTGTGGTATTGCCGCACATCAGTTTCAGAATATATAGATGGTCAGAAATGTAACCTCTGACTTCAAGGAAGCTATAAAAGCATCAAGATCATAATAAAGAGATACCAACCCATACATCAACATAAAGCAGCCAAACACCAGAAGACCAATTTATTTGTTCTCTGAGTGTTCTTTGTGACAGACCAGTAAACCCCTACACCATGGAAGCCAACTCAGAGGAGATGGGCCAGGGTGATGTGCCTGTGAAACCCAGGGAATAATGCAGAGTTTTACTACCACAGCTGTTGCAAAGAAGCTGTCTTGATCTCAACACCAAGGGGACCTGAGGGTGGCCTTGGTTCAGGTAAGCAGCTATCAACAGCTTGAGTGGAACACCTGGTGGTGTAAAGGTTTCTCCCCCTGTTCCTTAGAAAAGTGTGAATGTCAAGCCAACAAGAGGAAAGTGTAGATGTGACTCAGCACAACATAGCATATAAGCCCCAGAAAACTAGCAAAATAAATTCAGAAAGCAGTGGGCCTGAACTAGCTTCTACCCACAGATATCCTTCCTACCAAGACTGAGGACACCCATCATTCTGATAGTGACCATGTTATATATAAATTACTGTGGGAATCACACTGGTATCATGATTGAACTATGCATTGCAATTGCTTTATTCTGCTATGGGTAACTTACATTTGCATTGTGTTCTTGGTATGTTTTGTATCACTCTGCTAAATGAGAAATCCCATGCAGCACCAACTATCTTCTAGCAAGTAAATCTGATGTTAAATACGACACCCTCCACCATGGTGTTTCCAGTTTCCTAAAGGAAACCAATCAGAGAATATTGGGCTCTGAAATCCTCTCTTCTCTCTCTTTTGTTTGCCTTTTGCATGGTTTACTGCAAATAGCCACAGCACAGATGTCTTCTGTGTACTGCTGCTACTCCTTTCACTGACAGACAGTATACACAAAAATAGCTGATATTCAGAACACTGCCTCACCTCTGAAAACCTCCCCACTTTTTTTTTTTTTTGTGTGTTTTCAAATGACACCAGACACTACATTGAATTTGAAAGCCCAAGCTGCTTTGTAAAAACAGATGGGAGAAGCAGAGGACAGGACAGAAAACACAGCCAGAATACCAGCTGAAACTGCAGAAAGGGCAAAACCAACAAATGCCTATACATTGTATTTTCTGTCTATAGTGCTGTCAAGGAAATAAAAAGGTTGGTAATGTAACTTCATAATGAAAACCACACTTTAAAACACAGAACAATAAAACCTTCCCTGCATTTTAACTTCAGGAATCTGTTTAAAAGAACTTTTTAAGAAAGAAGTTAAAGATACAAAGTTTGTGTTACAGACAGGGGCTGCACATAAAAACTCAAATGCATTGTTAAGTTTACATTTTACCACGAGCACAGATCAGCACTATTTTCACTAATAAATAATACCTAATCAAAGCTATCATTACATAAATGTGTAGCTACTCTTAACCATTCTCCTTCTCAGTCATACACTACTTTCATATCACCCTTCCCAGCCATGCTCCATGAAAGGTGTATTTTTATGGTCCAAGAGATAAAATCAATGTTACCAAAGTCCACTCCTGTGAATGTACTGACATGATGGAATAGAAAAACTTAAAAGAACCATCTCCTAGAAGCAGTGAGAGGACAGCTCAATATCCCATAGACAATTTCAGTTGTACAATTTCTAGAGCATAGACCTGAAATACTACGATCAACAGCCCTTTAAGTAATTACCTAAGGCGAAGTCAAAATGACTGGAAAAGCAGTATCACTGAATTGCTGGATGTGCCCACCAACACGCCCCAAAACTATATGCTTAAAGCAACTGCTACGTGCTAATACAAAGCTTACAAAGTTAGTAACACCCAAAATAGACATTTTGTGACTACGCTGCTGAAGCACGCACTGCAGTATTAGACATTAGAGTTACTTCATATGCTTATGAAATACTAAACAAATAATGTGCCAGTACAAGCCAGGATGGAGCCACTAAAGTTCTAGAAAAACACAGACCAAGTGTTTGCAAGACACACTTCGTTTTAATTTGAAAAATCTGCAGCAGATGTGTTCAATTTGCTTGCGTTATTTATGAACAATTTCAACTGAGATTATTTTTTTTTAATTGGAAATTAACATTTGCAGGCACTGTGAATATTTCAAATCATTTCTTAAAACAAAAGAACAAAAAAACTTCCACCTTAATTGTAGTAAAGAAGTGTTTGCTAAACAAGTAATCTAATGCTATTGCAGTGAGTATGGTCAGTTTTAGAATGTATTAAAAGAAAAAAAAGTAAGAATGGGAGAGACCTTTGAAAAGTTAATCTGACCATTCACACTTGGCAAATGGAGCATACTGCTAATTTGTTATTTCTGAGTGTGCCTGACAGCTCTAGCAGGAGAGCCTAACGGCTCTAGCTCTGTTACAACAGATGTTTTACACCTTCATGGAAAAGAAAATTTTAGGTGACATGAGAAGAAAACCCTAAAAAGGAGACAATCATCTGAATCTGCAGATTGCACAGAACAACTACATTTTACAAAGCCTGCTCTTTTGGGATTCTTAAGAACCCTAACTGACACAGTGCAGGCCAGCCCATGTGTCCACACCAACAGTCTCTCACCTGGCTTTGCACCATGTATGAATGCTCAACCTTGGTTTTGGTCTCCACAGAAGGAACCTGTTGCCACTTCCACTCCCAGTGAGAGAGCAAACAGTAATGCAGGAGACGGAAATGGGGTGGTGAGGAGACCACACTTAGGACAAAATATTGTCTTCATTTCAACTTAGTCTGAACACATAGTCTGCAACTGCAGCCTTTAAGTAAAAAAAAAAAAAAAATTAAATAAAATTAAAATGTTTGGTGTTAATACACCATTATGAGGAAGGGAGGCTTCCATGTCCATACTGAGCAGGATTTGGTCCCACTTTAGTAAACTGAATTTAGCATTCCTACCCTCCTTATAATTATTCTCAATATAATTTAAGTAAGGCAAATTGACAGAAAGAGGAAACAGACCAATGTTTTTCTATCTCCCCTTCTGCCCAGCACAACTGGAGAAAAAGGAGAAGAACAGTGATGTTCAGTGCAGATACTTAACCCTTGTAAATCGCAGGATGCCAAAACCCTTCTCTCTGTTCCTTTCCAGTTTGCAAGCACCACTGCCCAGATGACAGGCATACCATTCTTCCCTCAGGAAAGATAGGAGTGAAAAACTCATCCCAAGAATGAACCTCATCAATCACCTGCATTTATCATTAAAGTGACTCACATTCTAGTGCTGGATACAACAGGGTCATAGACAAGGTGTAAGCCCATCTACATTTACTTGTTTTCCAAAAGACCCACCATTTTTTATATCACTTTAACTTGCTCATTCAAATTCAGCCTCTTCTGACTTGAGAACAATTCAGACCTTTCAAAACAGAAATCACCACTCAAGAGCCACTCAAAAATTAGATACTATTTATTATGCTAATTAAGTAATAATTTAAGAAAGCATCCCATGGTTCTTGAGCTCTTTTCAAAACTTCTCAACCAGAAAATTATTTCTGATTTCCAAAGGTAAGACTGTGGACTAGCACCAAAGCTATATTTAAAGTGATACATGGATCTTTTGTCTCCAGCACCAGTCACATGATCTGTTGTCACATGATCCAGCACTAGTCACATGATCTGTTGTCACTATAAATTCACAGAAATAAAATTTGTATTGTCAGGTCAAATCATTGATTCCATCCACCACCACATTCACCACCTGTTTCTGACATAAACCAAAATATGATGCTTTAGCAAGGAAAAAAAAAAAAAAGTCAAACAAAACCCACAGAAACAACCCCTCCAAGCCCCCCTAGGATGTATTTGTCCAATTGTTTGCTACTTACAGAAAGAAAACATCTTACCAGTCTTTCTCAACTCATACCCTTAACTGCTTTATTAGAATGTCCAATATGTAGCTTCCAAACCTACAGCTCTAAAATTAGTTTTAAAAGCATCTCAACAACTTTAGAGCCCCCAGCTGTAGCAGCAAAATTCCCTGGATAAACATGTGCTTGATTAACAAAATACATTCATTTCACTTCTTAATTACTTCCACCATTTCAAACTTAGCTGCATCTCTGAGACCTCCATACTCCCCTCGCTGCTTCTTCAACCTCAGGCCACAGGCCATCCCCTCCCCACAGGGCTTCTGACCACCACTCCTCCCAGAGTCCTCTGCACCTGGAATTGCACCCACCACTCACACATTCTTTGGGGTAGGTGAAGAACATGCAGATAATTAGCTGATGTTTCCAATGACCTCCTCACTTCCAGAAAATAACAGTAATAGTTTTTTTTAATGTTTTTAGAAGGGTAATATCCTATAAACTACACTCAAGTCGTGTATGGTTTACCAACAACACTCCTGGCTGTAAATCTCAAGACTTGTCCATGCTACATACCCAGGTCAGGGTCTCACTACTGCAGGTCAATTCTTAGCGCAAGTGACTGTCCTCCTGGTCAGACCTGCCACTTTAGGCAGATCTCATTTCTTCTGCTTAGCAATCTTGACCATCCAACCAGTACAAAACTGGATGTGCAGTTTTCCCAATGGTAATTAATTTCTTCAAACTTAATACAAATCCCTAGTTAGGAAAATTACTTGTTACTGTAACTTCAGTTCCTGCAGGAAACTATCTCATTTTCCCTCTAGCTACATGCCATAAACCTTTGTAAATGTTATCTTTGAGTATTTCACTCACAAGGAGCATCCAGTGCACTTTGGCATTTCCAGACTTCTCAAGCTCTGCATCTTTCATTGCCTACTCTTTTGTGTTACCTGGTCAATGCACCAAGCAAAAGCTGACTAATTTTATTGAAAGCTTTGCAAATGGATCACAAACTGCTTGCAACTTCGCATTACTGCCTCTTGAGTTTCCCATTGCACTGGATGATATTATGGAAACTATACATATATAATTTTAACAAATCGGATAGAAAATAATCACTGTTGCAGAATACAGCCCTGATAATTCTCTGTGATGAATCAGCTTGACAAAGGAGCATGGTACAAAGAAAAGGTTCATAAAGTTACTACAACACAGTTAAAGTCTGTAACAGAAAGAGCTAAAAAAGCATCTGCTTAGCTGGGTTTTAGTACATTAGGAACTAGTCCTTGTTTTTTTTATATTTAGATAAACAGTTAACTCCAATTCTTGATGAAAGCATGTTAAATGAAGAAAATATCAAGCACAATTTCTACATTCTATCCTAACAAACTCCCTTCTAAAAAGAGTCCATAGGTCTGTTCAAGTTCTTGCCCTCTATGGTGTAATTTTGAAATACATCTTTTATTGAAGAATTCCTCTTAAAACCTCTTCCTCTTTTTAGAAAAACATGAATGAAAAAATTGCACTAGTGAAAACCACGTTTGGGCTTTTGCAAGACCAAAGCACTGAGTTGGAAGTCTGAGAACCTGAAAATGCCCTCCACCACCTTGTTATCCTCCAACTGATACTAGTTACTTTTATGTTCGTAACTGGTGCTAACCACCAGAAAACTGTATGCAAGATGTCTGCTTGATGCCTCAAAATCCTGCCCGATATCGACTACTTTTAAAAGGAAGCAGACAACACACAGACACACAATTTGTGAACCAGACTTCTGTAAAGAAATTGAACTGCATGAATGTATTTTTCTTTCAAAGTCTCTATACAGCTTGTATTTTAAGCAATGGAACCTCCAGTACACAAACATCTGAAAAGATAAAAATAAACATTGATAAATGTTTATCATAAATTGCACCAACACAGAAAAGTCTACACACCTGGCACACTTCAATCTGTTTACTGAATAGGAATTTCAGTACAGGTTTTTTAGTGTTTCAGTAACACCTGGATATGTTATTCCATTCAGCAGAAGTATTTTCTTTTGTTGTGCACGAACTAAACCCACCACCATGTCTTTGTAGTATCAGGCACTGCAATTTGTTCAAGTGGCTTCATACTTTTTCAGCCATTTATTTATTGGGCTTCTCCAAATATAAAAGCAAGTAGCTGTAAAATTTGCACAGAATCAAGTGTCTATAGCATCACAAAACGATAGCAGAACATGATTTAATGGGTGACAGTAATTTGTAAAGACAGCATCCAAGTAATTCAAATATACAAGCAGCCAGTATTACAAACCTGAAGCTAATCAAACTAAGTAATTCACAAATGTAATGGCTAGAATTCAACCCAGTTCACAATTCTGTCTCCAGAACTCACGAGTCGGAAAAGGTATCTGGCAAATCCTGGTACAAGATTAAATCTGTTTCACACTATCACAATATCACAGTATGTTAGAGATTGGAAGGGACCTCAAAAGATCATCTAGTCCAATCCCCCTGCCGGAGCAGGAACACCTAGATAAGGTTACACAGGAACGTGTCCAGGTGGGCTTTGCATGTCTCCAAAGAAGGAGATTCCACAACCTCCCTGGGCAGCCTGTTCCAGTGTTCCGTCACCCTCATTGAGAAGAAGTTTCTTCTCAGGTTTAAGTGGAACCTCTTGTGTTCCAATTTATACCCATTTCCCCTTGTCCTTTCATTGTTTGCCACTGAGAAGAGCCTGGCTCCATCCTCGTGACACTCCCCCTTTATATATTTATATACACTAATAAGGTCACCCCTCAATCTCCTCTTCTCCAAACTATAGAGACCCAGCTCCCTCAGCCTCTCCTCATAAGGGAGATGCTCCACTCCCTTAATCATCTTAGTTGCCCTGCGCTGGACTCTCTCCAGCAGGTCCCTGTCCTTCTTGAACTGAGGGGCCCAGAACTGGACACAATATTCCAGATGAGGTCTCACCAGGGCTGAGTAGAGGGGAAGGAGAACCTCTCTCGACCTACTAACCACCCCCCTTCTAATACACCCCAGGATGCCATTGGCCTTCTTGGCCACAAGGGCACAGTGTCTGCTCCTGGTCATCCTGTCGTCCACTAGTTTCATACAACTTCTTCCACGAAGAGCTCCTTGTAACTTCTACTCCCTCCTCATTTCTGTTCTCTGTATTACAAATTCAGATGCAGGGACTTGGCAGATGAACTTTAGTTCTTCAAGTGAGGATGCCTATTTTCTTTTCCAACTGAAGTAAAAAAAACCAACAACAAAACCCCAAACCCAAAGAACATATCCCTTTTTCACCAGAAAAAAGTGCTTACCAATTTTCTGAAATGTCAAAAATTTCTTCAAATAGAAAAGCTACTTTCTAACCAGACTAACGTGAATTTAGTTAAGACTACTCCTTTTATATGAACTTTCCCCTGCAATTTCTCTGTAAAGGAAATGAAGTTGAAATTTAAATGGTTCAGACCATCTACTGGACAAGTAGGCTTCACTGGTTATATATACACACTCAAAATTTCATTGCACTTACTGAAAATGCAGATGCTTTTAATTAGCAAGGTTGAATATTCAGTCAAAACTTAAAAATAGCAATTGCTCTAACATTTTGAGATTAATTTACCTAGTATTTCCACTATTATATGCCTGTCTTTACCAAGTCCAAGGCAAGCTTACTCCTTATCTTTTGCTACAAATGCCAAATTTCACCCCATATTTCACCCACGAAATCTGATTAAATAAACAGGAGTTGCATAGATATTTATGAGTCTACAACACAGTTCCATAAAAAGTGCACATCCCATGAGATTGTTACTCTCTCCCTGAGTGCAACTTTCTTTGCTTTAAATCATCAAATAATAACACAAAAAACGTTACTAAACTTCTAAGGAAATCAGGACAGCACAGGAAGTTACTTCTAAAGCATTGAATTTTTTTTTATGTTCATATCAT